GACTCCACTAAGGGCCCGCCCACAGACCGATTTCCGGCTGGGACTTGAATGAGTGGCCCCGGACGGTTAGGAAGATGGAGAAACGGTAGCTGGAGCCCTTATCCAGGAAGATGCGCTTGGGTAGCTCGTACTCGGCCTTGAGGTCGTAGATCTTTTCGTAGTTGTCCATGTCAATGTGCACGTTACCCGCGCTCTGCCAGTTGCTCGCCAGGTAGAAGTAATAATCCTGGGGCATGGGAGGCGGGAGGCAAAGTCAGCACCCAGAGAAGGGGGACGGTGTGTGTAGGGGGGGAGGGGTCCGGGGCCGCCCCTCCCCCGACTCGCAACCCTCTCCATGCACCTGGTCCTGTTTCTTGTTCTTCCACCAGCGCCAGGTGGAGTCGTGCACAGGGTCGGCGTAAGGCTGCAAGGGACCGCCGGCACGGTGAGCCGGATGGGGCGGAGGGGCGGGGTGGGGTTCCCCAGGTAGGAGGCATTTCCAGACCCCTTCCCAGTCTCAGTCCCAGCCCCTAAGCCAAACCCTGGCCCGCCCTGATTTCAGCCCTCCGGCCACACCCGCAAAACCATCTCCCAGAGCTCTGCTCAAGCCCACACCATCCCTTCGTCCCCCTTTAGCCTCAGACTTCCCGGCGGCTCCTCTCTTGTTTCACCCTCCGCAGTCCTTCTTTCAGTTCCGCAGGCCTTGCCTTCTGGGCCTCCTCCACAGTCCAGTCTCAGACACGCCCCGGCCTGGGACAGCCCCCCCCCCAGCCCCGGCCGCTAGGCGCCCACCTTGTTGTACTTGGAGTGCAGCCAGAGCAGGTAGTAGACGAGGCCCTGATAGACAGCGAGCGAGTTCTCGTTGTGGAAGCCCGAAGGCTCCAGGACGCGCGGCGGCTTCGCCCGGTAGCGCTCCTGGCGCGTGTAGATCTGCGGGTTGGGCAGGTCCCGCAGGTGCATCACCGTGAAGGGGCATAAGTTGGTGAAGGAGAGCGTCAGGTGGCTCCTGGTCGGCGGCAGTGGGAGACCGAGGCTGACATTTCCGCGCCAGCACCCAAGGAGCCTCCACAGGCCTGTTTCCCACCCTGCGCTATTGACTCCCCAAATCACATCCAGCCATGCCCTTCCTCCTCGGCCTCAGCCCCTGGTGCCCTGGACACGTTCCCCTGGGTGTACCTGGGTCCCTCAGACCAGAGTCCTGGACATCAGGCTGGACTCCCCTCCCCCTTCCTAAGCGTCCTTCCATGTCCCCCTTAACCCCTCCCCCAACTGCCTCCCAGGGCAACTCTGCAGGTGACCAGAAGGATCGTTACTGAACACCTTAAAGTCTGACTGGGTATTCCCTCCCCTTAATCCCACCAGGGTTCCCCAGGATTCTCAAGATGAATTCCAAGTTCCTCCCTGTGACCACTTTGTCCACCCTGCCATCAGCATTGCACCATACTTGCTCTCAGTTCTCAAACACCCAATCTCCTTTCCTCCTCAGGACCTGCGCACATATGGTTCCCCCTGTCTGGGACACCCTTCTCCATTTAATTACCTGGCCACTTCTTCCTCACCCCTCAGGTCACGGGTCATGCACATCTTCCTCCTTGAAGCCCTCCCTGCTTTCCCCTTTCCCCAGGCTGGGTTAGGTTCCTCCTTTGAGCATCCATATGCCCTGAGCTCCCCCATTACAGCCCTGAGGTTGTCCTTAGGGATGGCTTGGTCTCTCCCACTGGAATGGGAGCTTCGAGTGGACAGTGCCTGGGCGCTCTGACTACTGCTGTGGTCCATCCAGTATCTTCTCACCCTTGCTGCTGCAAGAGGTAGCGGTTGCTGAGTTGCTGGTACATTAGAAGCTGCTCCAAGGGCACAAGCCTCTTGACGAGCTGGCTCTGCTGGCCGTTTACAAGGTACACCAGCTGCAGTGGGAAGGGCAGGGCCATGTGAGCTGGTGTCAGCCACACTGTGGCTCCCCCAAATCTCCCCACAGCCCCCACCAGGTACCTGGTACAGATTGCGTTCTTCATAAAAGAGAGTGACCATAGTCTCATTGGGGGCGTAGAGAGAGGACTGTTGCATCATCTGCAGGCTGATGTACACCTCCCAGCCCTTGGAGGGAAACAGCTTGTACACCCGGTAGCTGCCCTCCTGAAGGTACCAGATCTGGGGGTGCAACAGCCAGGTGTGAGTGTGAGGGCCATGGGGACCTCTGACCCCACCTCTCTCTCTGCCAAGTGTGCTGGCCCCATTTATTGAGGGGTGAGGCTTGGGAGCTCACCCCCACCTGGGACCAGGTAAGCTCATATATCTTCTCTCTGTAGTGCCATCTCTCGACTTCCCAGAACCCAACCACCTCTGCTTCCAGCCCTCTCTCACCATGACAAGTTTCTTCAATGTTTCAGTCTGCTTGAGTTTCTGTTACTTGCAACTTAAGCATTCCTAACACATATACCCGCTAATGGCAGGGGTTTCTAGGGCCGAGCCCTCTTTTTTTCTTCTCACCCTTTGTACCCTCCGGGTCTCATCCCCTTGGCCTCAGTTTCCCATCTCTGCACTGACGTCTACCACCCATCACCCCAAACATTTGACTCTAGACCTCACCTCCTCCCGAGCCTCAGCCTGGAGGATCTCTTCCAGCCTCCAGGATGCCCCCTACCCCCTGGCATGTGCCTCTTCTGTGAATCCCTCCCTGATCCACACACTCCTAGAATAGGTCAGGCCTCTCCTCTGAATGTCCATAGGTGTTGTTTTCCCCTGCTGCAGCCTAACTACTCTCAACTGTCACGGTCTGGGAATGAGCCTGTCTTCCTAACAGCCCAGTGAGGGCAGGACCCAGGGCTGACTCAGTTACCACTATGTCCCCAGCACTGGGCCAGGCATCCAGTAAGTGCTCCGTATTTATGAAATGAACTGAATGATGACATGAAAGAGGGCCTCCTCTGGAAATCAGATCACTTAACTCTGAGCACAGGTCTTTCATTGCTGATGGGCTTTGGAAAACACACTTGGCTTCTTTGAGTTCCAGGGTTCTCAGCTATAAATGGAGGTTCTGCTGCCCTTCCCCAGGGTTCCTGAGGGTGTTCCCTCCCTTGGGTCCCTTTACCCTGACAGGGAGAGAAGGGAGACCCCAGGGGTTTGGGGTGGGGATGGGGCGGCAGGCCACCTCCTCCGTCTCTGTGACAATAGCTATGTCCCCAAGGAACGAGTTGACCAGGTACTTGATGAATAGCTCCTTGGGGAAGTCCGCCAGGTAGATGAAGTTTTCACTGTCATAGCTGCAGGGGTAGAGATGGGATCTTGGGGCACCTGGGCAAGGCCTCTGGAGGATATCTGCTGCCCCCAACTCCAGGCTGAACACAGCATAGGATCTGTTTTCTCACTTCTCCACTAGCCTTGGGAAGATGTGCAAAGGCAGCCTGGGATTCTAGCTTCTGCCCCTGACTCCAGACTATATCAGGGCTCCCCCAGCTTCCTCCATCCTAGTCCTGACCACCCCAGCTGGCATTTTCCCCATCACAGTCCTTGTAACTTCTGGACTTGGGCAAACTGAAAACTTGGTGACTTCAGAAAGGGCTCTAACCCTCTTGGGGCTGGGGAGGCAGAATATTCCTGGCCCTCTACCTTTGCAGGAGGAAGTTGCCCCAGATGAACAGCAGGTGGTTATATGGGTTGTAGGACATGCCCTTGGGCACCATTGAGAAGTTGGTATAAGACTCTGTCCCTAGGATCATCAGGAACTCCAGGCCTCGAGCTGGCCAGGGCAGAGGCAGAGTGGACACATCAGTACATGGGGTCACCTGGGCCCCACCACCTTTGAGCCCCCCACCCCCATCCCCCAGCCTTCCTCTCCTACCGTCAGGGATGAATTCTGGGATGGTGTAGAGGACGGCCAGGTAATCAGTGACTACAAGTAGAGAGAACACAGCAAAATCTCCTGAGGCCCTGAGCTCTCAAAACCTGAAACTAGGCAAGTCACCACTTTCCCAACCCCTCCAAAAAACCCTCTAATGGCTTTCCATTTGAGCTTGTTAGCCCTTAGAGTTTCTTTTTCTTTCTTTTCTTTTTTGTTTCAATTGGGGAAGGGGACCAGCCAAGTTGTTGTTCTTCAATCTTAGTTGTGGAGGGCGCCAGTCGCCATCTGGCTGCCCGCAGGCAGCTCGTGGCCTCTAAGCTCAAGGTGCCAAGTTCATTCTTAGTTGCGGGTGGGCGTAGCCACCATCCCATGCAGGAGTTGAACCGGCAGATTTGTTAAGAGTGCATGCTCTATCCACTGAACCATCCGGGTGGCAGCTCAGCTCAAGGTGCCAAGTTCAGTCTTAGTTGCTGGCGGGCACAGCCCACCATCGAACAGGCAGTTAGGAGCACGTGCTTTCACCAGCTGAGCCATCCTGCCACCTGTTGGCAGTTCAGCAACAGCTCAGCTCGGGCACAGCGTCACTGGCCCATGTGGGAATCGAACTGGTGGCCCTGTTGCTCAGAGCTCGCTCTCTTACGCTAACTCTTAAGCAACTGAGCCAATCGGCTGGCCCTAGAGTTTCTTTATGTGACACAAAAAGGCACTGCCTCCGAGAAGATACAGTCCTGTTGGGGTGCAGGACTTGCCTCCTCTGACTCCTCAGCTGGGGAGTGTAGTGCACAGCCTATACAACTGCAGCGGCAGCCTGATTCTCAGTTCAGGTAAAATAAAAATAAAATCTCCTTGTTGTGTTCATCTCTCCAATCTCCTTCCCTTCCCTTTCCCTCTCTGTTGCAGTCACATTGACTTACTCTGTTTCTCCAGCCCACCAAGCCTGTTCTCCACCACTACCCCTTACACAGACGTGACACGAGCAACATTTCCCTCCTGTTGTCTGCTGTGTGCCCAACACCTCCCCACCCTCCGCCATGGTGCTCCAATTACCCATGTCATAGCTGACCACTTGGAAATATTTCCTGGTAGCGATGTCTTCAGTCTCCACCAGCAGCAGCAGATTGTAGCTGCCCGCAATGTATGTGGCCCAGGTTATGGAACAGGTAACAACTGGTCGGGAAGGGAGAGGTCCAGAGCAGTCCCCAGATCCTGACCCTCTCCATCACCTCGCTCCTCTGTGACTGCCACCTGTAACTCTTCACCTCTCCCCAAGACACTGCCATCCCTTCCTGGGACCTCTCCCACCGCTCTCCCCTGCTCTCTCACACCCTCGCTCCCCACACCTGCCCACTGCAGACCCACCTGGGAGGGGAGATGGGTACCTTGTATCCCTTTGCACACGGACTGCTGCCTGGGCAGCATCTTGAAGGACACATGGCCATCTGCAGAGCGGGGCAGGTCCACACTCAGGCACTTCCCATTCCCAGCCAGTTTGGCACCCCACCACAGAGGAATGCCCACCCTTCCTGCCCCATCAATCTTTGAAATTCCAGGGGGCAGGTCTCACCCCCTGGCCTTTTAGTCACTCACACCTGGCCTATCAGAGCATGGGTAGCTCTGGTCATAGTAATTGGCTCAGGTCTGGGCATGTGACCCAGAACTGGCCAACCAGAGTCCACCCTGGGATTCACGCTAGAGCTAATGGAGAAGAGGCTGCTCTCATTCTTTTGGGATGACTCAAACTGGTGGGAGGTGAGGGCCCTGAGCTCCTGGGGGCCATTCTTAATCCCCACAATAGAAGTATCTACTTGAAAATGAAGCTAAATCACAGGGCTCAAATAATAAACCCTTTTCTAGTACTCACCATGTCCCTAGAATTGTTCCAAGACCTTTATATATGCCAAGTTGTATAATCTTTATAGCAACACAACGAAGCAGGTAGTACTATCATTAGCTCCATTTTGCAGATGAAGAAATGAGACCCAGAAGAGGTTGTCAAATCACTTGTTGAAAACCACAGGTGACTTGGGTTGGGTGTACTGGAGTAGTCTCACTCCAGACCTGTGCTATTGGTCACTATGCTATACTACCTTCCAAGACATAGATTCCTGATGATATACCATGTGAGCCCTTGGATCCAACCATGCCTGAAATTGGCCCTGGTCTTTTCATTTATTTAAATCCACAAGTTCTTTATGTATAAATGATTTTTTAATTGGGCTTCTGCCCTTTGCAACCAAACATATCATGAAAGGTATATAAAACATCCCAGGCACTGCCCCTACGAATGCCTTAATCCATCCCCACTCACAGGGCCAACCTCCAGCCTGGGACCCCTCTTTAAGGCACATAGTGAGGGTGAGGGCCAGAGGTCAGAATTCATTGAGGTGAGAGGGCATGGAGGGGTCTCTTGGGCTGCCAGAGTCCCCCACCCTTACCTGTGATGGTCCCAAAGTGGAAGTAACCTTCATGCTTGCCAGTGGTGAGGGCCATGATGTACTCGGAGCCATTGCCATGGAAATACACGGGGCATAGCTTCTTGATACACTCATTGGCCAGCACACGAACCCAGTTCCCTGTGGGGGCCAGCATGGGGCCTGAGGCCCAGGCATTTGGACCTGGGACCTCGGCGCCCCATCCACATTTCCCTGGCCTTAATGAGCCTACTATCTGTCCTCTCACTGGAGCAGCTGTTCAGTGTGGTATCTGAGGGGCCCCTGGAATAGGGCCTCAGCTGCCTTTGAGAAAATCCTCCTGGCTCACATTCTGTCCATGAGGTTCAGAATGGGCTGATCCTACCCTTGCATTCCCCTGGCCAGAGCTATTGGTTCTGAGCTGGGCATGTGACCAAGTAGGGCAAATCAGAGACAGTGTCAGCTTGCAATCACTAACAAAGAGATGCTCTTTCCTGGGATCTCTGAGGGCATAAAATTTGCAGTTGTTGAGGGGAGAGGGATCACCATGGCCAACACTGGAGGGGCCAACAGCTACAGTGAGGCCCTGGATCCAACAAGTTAGAAACCAACGTGCTCCTGGGTTTTTCAGCTATCTAAGCAAATAAATACGCCTCCCCTCCACACCGTTTTTTTTTTTGGCTTCAGCCCATTTTAATTTGGTTTTTCCACTGTCAAAGTGCCCTAAGTTAGAAAGGGACAAAAATGGAGCTGTTGAGAATATGCATTAACTATTGAAACATAGGTGACAATACAAGTTTCTGTGATCCTCTAAGTCCAAGTGACTCAATAAGGTGCCTAAATGACATCTCTCATTTGGGAAGGGGGAAAAAAACCTATGAGGACTAGAACTTTGGTATTTAAAAGATGAGGCAAAATCAAGTCTCTTTTTCTTCTCCGATCAGTCTCCTTTATGGCTGTGCCTCTCCGACAACCCATCTCTATTTCTCTCTCTCTCTGACCTCTAGGTCACTCCTCCCCCACCCCAATTCCTCTCTTAGTATGTCTTTCTCTGTCTTTCTGACACTCAATATGTCTGTGTGAGTGCGTGTGTGCGCTTGCATGCATGTGTGTGTCCTCTCTGTCTCTGCTCCCTCCCTTCACTCTCACATCTTGTTCTTCCTCCAACTGGTTCATAGATCCTGGGAAGGTATGGATGAAGGCCCCACACCAGCATCGAGAGGGTGGAAAAGGCCGCCACAGGGTGGGCAGGATGATTCAGGACCTTGGAAAGTCCCCCCAACACCCTCCTCCCCACCCACGGCAATTCCAGTCCCAGGTGCCACAGTGGATGGGTTCACTCAGGTGACCCCCTAGGGCTCCAACAGGCAGTTTCCTTGCCTGAGGTGCCATCAACGCCCAGGCACGTGACCCAGCCACAGCCCCCTCACCACTGCCACGGTTGCTTTGGTGGAGTGTGATATAGGTGCCTGTGAAATAGTAGACAAGCTGGTTCTGCCGAATGAAGAGTGTGCTCTCGGTGGCGATGGCGTCATAGATGGTGGCAGTGAAGCTGGCCTGGGGGCAGTAGAAGGAGCCTACCCAGCAACTGTCAATGCTCAGCTGCAGAGGAGCAGAGACAGTGGTGAGCAGGTGGCCTTGGCCTCAGCCTACGTCCTGCCTTGGGGAGAGGTGCCTGCTCTGACAACTGCTTGGGAGGGACATGCTGCTAACACCAGGGTGCCCTCCTTGCTCACCCTGAAGCAGCACCTTAGTGGCCAAACTCCCCCAACATGGGCCACAGAAGTAGGCAACCCAGGCCAGAGCCTGGGACTTTGTATGTTCCCTAGAGTTGAGCAGTGCACAGCGTCTTCAATGGTGCTAAGAAGTCCTGGTTTCCAAGGACACTGAGGGTTGTACCAATGTGGATATAAAAGATCCCATAGTTGGCCCAAGGCACTTTTTTATAATCCGATTATACCTTGAACACAATTTGGTGTCAGGCTGACACTATCTGAACTCACTGACTGATTATTAACACTGGCAATATCACCAATAGTGGGGAAAAAATGGAATCTAAATTTAATCCACCTTCTAGATCTCACTACTAGTTTATTGGCAATATGAGGTGTTATGGACTAATTGTGTTGCTCTTCCCAATTTATATGTTGAAACCTTAATCCCCCAATGTGACTGTATTTGGAGATAGGGCCTTTAAAGAGATAATTAAGGCCCAATGAGGTCATAAGAGTTAGGCCCTAATCCTATAGGACTGGTGTCTTTATAAAAGAGGAAGAGACACCAGAGAGCTCTCTCCACTTGTGAACACAGAGAAAAGGCCATGTGAGGACACAGCGAGAAGAAACTTTTTGCAAGTCAGAGAGTTCTCATCAGAAACCAACCCTGCTAACACCTTGATCTTGGACTTCCAGCCTCAAGAACTGGGAGAATATAAATTTCTGTTGTTTAGCCACCCAGTCTGTGGTGGCTATTTTGTTATGGAAGATAAATATACAGGGTCAGAGGAAAAGTGAATTGATTCCATGAAGAAGCAAGCAGCCAAATTCTATAGGACAAAAGGCCTGGTTTTTTAAATTGCCTGAAAAAAAAAATGTGGTTGGTGGGAGGACAGAGGGGGGGAGCAGACTTACAGGTGAGAAACGCATTAAGACACGCAACAGCCAAATGCAATGTGTGGGTCCTGATTCAAACAAACCAATTTTAAAAGACATTTTTAGATAATTGGGGACAATTGACTATGGCCAGTTTAGATGACATTAAGATGTTATTGCTAATTTTGCTGGGTATTATAATGGCATTATGGGTTTTTTTTGGTTGTTGTTGTTGTTTTAAGTCCTCATGTGTTAGAGATACTCCCTCAAGTCTTTCAAGAATTTACAGGTGAGGGCTGGCGGAGTGGCGCGATAGTTAAGAGCTGGGTTGGGATGCCAGAGGGCCCCGGTTCGGATCCCACATATGAAGGCCAGTGACACTGCCCTCTACAGCTAAGATGCTGAACAACAGGTCAACCTGGAGCTGGGCTGCTGTGAGTCGCTGGCGATGGTGTCGGCTGCAGCCCCTGCTGCAGTGGGGTTACCATGGGCTACCGTGTGTAGCCAGAAGCCAGCGTGAGTGACCAGCAGCCACCGTGAATGGCAGTCCAGAAACCAGCGACTGATCTGCCTCCCCTGGGAAGAGCGCAATGATGGTGCCAACTTGGGCGAGTGAAGCAATGTCCTCCACAGCTAGACTGAAGAACAAAAGGACAGCAACTTGTCTGTTTGCCTTCCCCCAATTCCCCAATAAAAATCTTAAAAAAAAAAAAAGAATTTACAGGTGAAATGGTATGATGGCTGGGATTTTTTAAAAACCAGGAAAAAAATGGTGGAATGAAAAAATAGGCAAAATGTTGATAATTACTGAAGCTGGGTTTATTATACTATTCCCTCTACTTTTGTGTCTAATTGAAATTTCCCACCCAAAAGTGAAATTTTCCACTAACTTTTCCCATAAAAAGTAGAAATCAGAGCAAAACTCTAGGCTCTGCTGCTGAGGGAAATTTCACCAAGTTAAGAAGAACATGAACATTCCCACTCCCCTTACCTTATTCAGCATCATAAGTGTCCTTGAAAATGTTATTTCTAAAAGAGCCTAGTCATCCACTAGGACTATCGGGGTTGTTGCTATGCCTGGTGAAACTAACCTGTGCTCTCTAAATCTGTCATTTTGATTAGCTGTCATACTTCATGTATTACACCATTAATATTTGAGTGATGCTTCTGTTTTCTGGAAGAAATACTTGGAAATTCTCTTTGTTAAATTATTGGGTTGTTGGAAAAGTCATGATGTATTTTGTCTATGTTTTTCAAAGGTCATTTATTTATATAAAGAACAAAGATCAATCAATAATATATTGCCCGTTTTGTTTAATAACCTTTTGCCATCTTTCAGTGAGCTTCATAAGTCCTCATTCATAGAAGGACCTGTCTTTATTTGCGAAAAACTGAACAAAGTGCTGATTTACAGCCTCATCTGAATTGAACGTTATACCACGCAAGGAGTTTTGAAGACAGCGAAACAAGTGGAAGTCTAACGGCGCAAGGTCAGGCGAGTATGGTGAGTGTGGCAACACATCCCATCCAAGCTCCAATAATTTTTGATGGGTGATCAAACTTGTATGTGGTTTCACGTTGTCACGATGGAACACAACTCCTTTACAATTAACAAGCTCTGAATGTTTCTGAATGATAGATTCATTCAAACTGTCCAATTGCTGACAGTACACATTCAAATTGATTGGTTCCTTGGTAGGAGCTCAAAAAACATGACACCTTGAAATCCCACCACACTGAGAGCATAACCTTCCTCTGATGAATGTCTGCTTTCAATGTCATTTGAGGCAAATCATCACATCAGGACCAAGACCGTTTGCACACCACATTGTTGTAAACAATCCACTTCTCATCACCAGCTATCAGTCGCTTCAAAAAAGGATCATTTTCCTCACGTTTAATGAGAATATTGCAGATGTTTATACGCGCCGTCAAATGAACTTCTTTGAGTTCATGTGGAACCCAAATATCGAGCTTGCTTACATATTCCAGCTTCTTCAGGTGGTCATGAATGCTTGAATGATGGATGTTCAATGTTTCTGCAATCTGTTGTGTCATGTAATGTGAGTTTGACTCGATCAATGCCTTTATTTTGTCGTCATCAACCTCAGTGGGCCTCCCTGACCGAGGAGCGTCGTTGAGATAAAAATCACCAGCACCGAATTTCGTGAACCATCATTGACACTGATGTTCTTGTAGAGCATTGTCACCCTAAACTTTCTGCAACTTTTCACAAGCTTGATGCATGTTCTTCCCTTTATGGAATTAAAACAGTAAAATGGCAAAAATGCACAGTTTGGTTTTCCATCTTCAACTTGTTGTAAAATCTCTAAAACTCAACCAAATCGCTCAATTTTTTTTCAGAATGAAGCTAGGACGGTCAGCTGTCAAATGACATAGCAATAACATAGATGCGAATGACTTTAGTACTTCCAAAAATAAACTAGTGCCATCTGTTGCAAACATGCATCATGACTTTTCTGACAACCCAATAGAAAAGGATCACCATACCTCCCCTCTTCTCCCACATACATGAGGAAAAGAAAAGTTGTGGGTCAGCTGGATTTCTAATTTGAGCAGCTTGAGAGTTCTGATTCATTTAACTCAGTAAGAAGCATGTTAGGTTTCCCTGGCCACAGTGATTAAGTCAAATGGGTAAACAGCCTGAACCACACCAAGTGGAAGGAATCTTGTGATTTGGGGGGTAAGGGGTAGCGGAAAAGATCTTTTCCACTGGATGTAGGCCTGAGATGATATAGTCTCTGCAGTTCCAGAGGACAGAGCTGTTTGACCATAAAGTCAATACAGAGGAACCAAGAGATGGAGAGAGAGAAATTCAGTCTTGGTGACATTGTTTGAAATCCTGGGTCAAGCCGCACCTGAATTTTTCCATTACATGAACCAACAAATTTCCTCTTTCACTTTTGGCAGATGGCTAGTTGAGCTCCCAAATCCATTTTCACACATTCTTTGTTAGTTGAGTTTTAGTAAGGCATGTGCCACCCAGGTAGAAATTTTATTTCCCAGACTCTTTTGCAGTTGTATGTACCCAATTGACTATTTCCTCACTAATAGAATGTGAGTGGAAGTGAAACTTGCTTAAGAGAAAACAGCTTGCTCTCCACCTGTGTTCTTTCCCCTTCCCATTGGCTGGGAGTTGGACATGGGCAGGGCCCAGCTTCAATCATACAAATGAGATCAACATTTGGGGCCATTGAAGCAAGAAAAAAGAAGGGATGTGGCTTTCTCACTTCTGGACTGTTAAGACAATAAACGATAGCATCTATTTAAGCTATTCCCTCCCTTTCAGGGGTCCTGTTTGTTACAGCATCTAAAATCAACCAATACACAGCTGAGGAGAGCTGTGGGGTGGGGGTGGGGATTCCTCTGGAATCCCAGGGGCAATCTGGAAGGGAGTGGTACGGTGAGACAGGAGGGAGGAAAGGAGAGGAGAAAGCAGCCTGGGAGAAAGCCCCATGATTCTCATTCTTTAATGAGAATGAATGGGCTTTTATTTTGGAGTAATGGAAAATTTTTGGAACCAGATACAGTTGGTGGTTGCACAATATGAATGTACTAAATGGCACTAAATTGTTCACTTTGGAATGGTTAATTTTATGAATTTTATTTCGCCATGATAAATTTAAAAAAAAAAAAAAGAAAAAGAACAAAAAGAAAGATGCCCCCTAGGGCCGGCTGAGTGGCTTAGTTGGTTAAGAGCTCGCTCAAGAGTTTGAGCTCTGAGCAACAGCGGTTCGAGTCCAGCCCGAGCTGAGCAGCCGCTGAGCTGCCAACAGGTAGCAGGATGGCTCAGCTAAAAACAAACAAACAAACAAACAAACAAAAAAGAAAGATGCCCCCCAAAAAACAAAAAAACAAAACACACACACACACACACACACACAAATGAATAAAAAATAATAATAAAAAAAAAGAGGAAAAAAACGATGCCTGAAGTTCAAATGGAATTCTTTGTTCCTGTGACATAAGGCCCCTTCTCTGCCCTCCAAACTTCTTCAGCAGAACCCACATCCCTGTGGTGTGTTTGGGTCAGGAGTGAGAAAACTGAGCAGTATCTGGAAAGACTTGGTCCAGAACAGAGAAAGCTGACACCAGACCAAGAGACGGTCTACAAACTGAACAAGTTCAATAAAGCAGATTCAGAGCCAGAGGGAACCAGGAGAACATTAACCTACATGGGATGCTCAGAAAACATGGGTGGGGTTTTCAACCTTGATGGGAAGAGGTTAAGGCAACCTTTTGGGGTTGCTGTGGAGTACAACTGTTATCTCAGACACGCTTAACAACCGGCATCTTCTCCCCTCAACTTGTGGCAAAGCTACCCTGATTTCACTCTGGGGGAACCATCCTTTCTCTGCTTCTTGTCTCAGCTGTCCTCCTCATAAAAATGGAGATCACGACCTGTGCTAAGCCAGCTGGCATTTGCCATTATTTTGGGACACATGACCAAGCTGGACCAATCAGGACCAAGGAAATACATTTCAGGCTTTTTAAATAGCTATTTGGGAAAGAGAAGCTCCCATTTTCTGGCCTGGGAATTGGGATTATGTGAGCCACTTTGAGGACAAGACTAATCCAGAAGTGGAGAGGAAAGCTGAAGTTCTGATTTGAGCCCCGAGTCAGGCCGTGCCTGAAGCCTGCCCTGTGCCTGAGCTTTGCAGTTAGGGGCACATACTAAATCCACTCATCTGCTTAAACCAACCTGGGTTGGCGTTCTGCCTACAGCTGCACCAACTCAAAGGTGTTTCTGTCATTGACACCAAAAGAACCTTCCTTCAGACTCCCCTTCCCCAGTCTGGGAATAAGATAGGATCACAATGCCAAATTTGAAACCCTTGGGGCCAGATGCATGTTGCAACTCAGAATTTTCCAGGGTTTAGAAGGTAGTGTGGCCCATATATAGCATTCATATGTAAACCAGTGGGGTCTGGGGCAGCACCCCGAAAGCAAGCTCCTTGATATTTCTGTAAGGCAGGATCTGAATATTAACAGTAAACGGGATGTGAAAAGACTGTCAGCAGCCTTTATTAGCTCAGGTCACGATTTCTTGACAAATGAATTTTAGTCCTAAATTTGTGAAAATGCCATTTTCAAAGCTTTTTGGGTTTCAGAATTATAAATAATGGGCCGATAAATAATAATAGCTTTGGCTCACATAGTGCTCACTCTGTGTCCAGCTGGTATTAACTTATGTCATCCTCATAATGATTCTATGAGGTAAATATGAAGATTATTCCCATTTTACAGGAGGGGAACCTGAGACCTGGGTGGGTGAAATGACTTGCCTAAGGTCACATGGCCAGGAGGTGGCAGAGCCAGGATTTGAACCCAGGCTGTCTGGCTGCGGAGTCTTATGTCCTGCCTTCATGCCATCTGCCTCTCGTGGGGGCTGGTGTGTCTTTGGGAACCCTTTCTGTAGCCCCAGGCCATTTTAGGGGCTGAGACCTAGCACCTGTCTAAAGGCCCCAGCCCACCATCTGCCCTGTACCACTCACCTCCACGAAGAAGAAGTCCTTGAAGCTCGTGTCAGTCAGCAGAACAGACTTCTCCTCAGGAATGCCACCCAGAATGAGCACAGGTGCCTGGTTCACGGTGTACCACAGGGGCCTCGATGCAGCATTCACAAAGTACCGGGGTAACAGACTGAAGAGCTGCCGGGGGAGGAACAGGAGCTCTTCAGCCCCCTACTCTCCCATGACTCCATCTCATTTCAGGTTAAAGTCCACACCCTGACCCACGAGGCCCCACACAATTTGCTCCTGGCACCTCTCTGACCCTATGCTCTCCACTCATCCCCTCACTCTCTCTCTCTCCCAGCCACATGGGCCTTCTCACTGCTTCTCAGACTTACCAGGCATAGTCCCACCTCAGAGCCTTTGCACTGGCTGTTCCCTCTGTATGCAATGCTTTTCCCCTAGGATCCACATGATTCTCTCCTCTGCTCCGTCAAGGCTTTACTGAAATGTCAGCCTTCTCAATTCTGCCTTTCTTGACCATTCCATTAAACACTACAGTCCCCTCCTGCACAGACCCAATCACCCTCACGCTGCCTGAATTCTCTCCAGAGCACTTCTACCTTTTAATCTGCTACAGGATGTACTTGATTTCATGTTTCCCGGTTTGGTGTCTGTCTCTCCCACTAGAATGTCTGTCAGCTTTAGGAGGACAGGGACTTGGGTCTGTGTGTTCACTGTTCTGTTCCCATGGGGCCACACTGTGTGCTCAGTAAGTGCCTGCTGAATGAATGAATGGATGAATGAATGAAGAATATGGGTGCAGGAGCCAGGCAAGCACAGTTTCAAGTCTTGTTCCACATGTACTGCTGAGAGGCTCTGGGCAAATGGCTCCATCCGTTTTTAGCCTCAGTTTTCTTCTCTTTAAAATGGGTGTGTGGGAGCACCTTCCCTCATAGGGTCAGTGTGAAGATGTAATGTATTTGTGCATTTAGTAGAGCCCTTCACCAGGGGCCTGGCACAAAGTAAACGCTCTGTAAGTGGGGCCTGCCATTTGTTTGGGAAGTTATCAGGGCTCCGGCCCACTGTCTTCTACTGTCCTCACTGTCCGGGCCCCCTTACCTCATTTCCCACAGTGAACTGGAGTTTGTCGTCTTGCTGTCTCTTCAGGAAACCATTGATGTTCACCTGAAACCTGGCAGCAAGTATGGTGCAGGCACAAGTGAGCGTTTCAGTTTCAGGGGCTCCTGTCATAGCTCACAGCCACCTCCCTGCCCTATGGTCTTTGGTCTCCCTTGGGTCTCCTCCCTTTGGTCTCCTCCGGTCCTCTTTGGGGGTCTGGGGAGAAGGAAGTCCCTCCCAGAGTCTGCCCCCTGTCCCAGGCGTGTGGGGAAGGGCACCTTTTATTGGGAATGAGAGGCCCCAGGCCATTGCTGCTGACATCCACATGCATGACCACGCTGCCGTTCTTGACGGGCATGGGTGTGTACCAGCTCATGACACACACCTCCTCTGCGTTGCACTGCTCTGCTGGTAGGCAGTGGGAACTGAGTCTGCTGGGGGTGGGGGGGCCTCCCAGCGGCACCCTCCAGACCACAGACCACTGGGATCTCCTTGCAACTCCCATGTCCTTCTCTAGGCCATGGAACCCACTGGGGCCTTGGTGTAGCCCCATTTGGCCAGGCCATGGAACCTGCTGAGGCCTCCCTGTGCCCTCCTCCAGGTCACAGACCCCACTGAGGGCCTCCAATAAGCCCTATACACCCTCTAAACCATGGGCCCTTTGATGACCCCAGACTCCCCTCCAGGGCCCCTCTGAGGCCCCTAGCAATCTCTGCCATGCTCGACTTTTCCAGGAGCCCCTTATGCTCACCTTTGCTGCGGAAGGGGGCTGCCTCCATCTGGATCTGCAGCTGCTCTAACTTCCAGTGATTGATGTTAACGGGGGACTGGAAGGTGACCAGCACCACAGGCTTCAGCCCTGTCAGGTGACCCTTGCGGACCAGGGCCTCAGAGGACTGAGGGTGAGATGGCCCCACAGATGTGTCTTTAAGATAGCCTTTGGGTCCTCCACCCCCACCCACAGCCTTGACTCCACCTTTAGTAGCCTGTCTTCTTGGGCTGGGTGGGGAGAACAAACTTTCCACCATGGGAAGGTCAGAGAACATGGCCTAGGTATGGGGCTGGGGTGGGGGACAGGCCAGGCTAAGAGAGGCGTAGAAGGGCTAAGGGCTATGGAGAGAGTCAGGTCTTCCTAGAGGAGGTGAGTCCAGGGCCAAGGTCTTCAGACAGAATTGGAATGTAGGAAAAGTATACAGAAGGGCAGCATAGGATAAGCAAAATTGTTTTGTTTTGTTTTTAAGATTTTTATTAAGAAATTGGAGGAGGGGAACAGTGTTGGGGAATTGGGGAAGGGGACCAGCCAAGTTGTTGTTCTTCAATCTTCGTTATGGAGGGCGCCAGCTGCCATCTGGCTTCCCGTCAGCAGCTCGTGGCCTCTAAGCTCAAGGTGCTGTGTTCAACCTTAGTTGCAGGTGGGCGTAGCCACCATCCCGTGCATGAGTCGAACCAGCAGCCTTCTTGTTAAGAGCACACGCTCTATCCACTGAGCCATCCAGGCGGCAGCTCAGCCAAGTTCAGTCTTAGTTGTGGGTGGGCATAGCCCACCATCGAACAGGCAATCTTGTTGTTACACCAGCCGAGGCATCCTGCCACCTGTTGGCAGCTCAGCAGCAGCTCAGCTCGGGCGCAGCGTCACTGGCCCATGTGGGAATCGAACCGGCGGCCCTGTTGCTCAGAGCTCACGCTCTTAAGCCAACTCTTAACCAACTGAGCCACTCGGCTGGCCCAGCAAAATTTCGACAGTGGGAATGAGCCTGGCACCCAGAACTGCTGGCAGCCTCTTCCCTCACTTCAGGGATTCCCAGGCCCCCTCTTGAGGCTTCCACCCTCCCTGCAGAAATGAGACCCTCTGCCATCCCCACCAGTCAGAGGATAGTCAGGTTGTGGGGCTGGGGCCTGGCGGTGAGGGTGGGATGGGGCAGTTGGATAGAAAGGAACGGGTAAAGAGTGTGAGGGAGCAGCCAAGGATGCCAGGATCCTGGCTGGTCCAAGAAGGGCAGGCAGGGCTTAGAGTGGAGATGGAGGAGGGAAGAAGGGTGTTCCAAGTGTATGGAACAGCATATGCAAAGGCTTGGACAAATCCCCAAGAGAAGGCTGCATTCGGGCCACTATGGATGGGGGGTGGGAGTGGGCTGGGAGACCAGGGTGAGACATTTAATGGGTCTAACCACCTTTGCACAGGCTCTCATCCTGAATGTCTCAGCCAGGGCTCTTTCAATCCCACCAAATATATGTGTCCTAGCCCTGGCTCTGGGTTTCCAATCACAGGGTAGCAGATGCTGGTGGGACCTCCTCCCTGTCAGGGCAACAGTGGCCACGCCTACCCTGGTCCTGTCAACCCTCAAATCCTGCCTAGACCATGCATCAGCTGCCTCCCTGGTCTCCCTGCTCCCATCCATCCCTTCCCCTACAATCTGTACCCCTTACACAGCAGGAGGGAGCCTGTGAACACCTGAGTCACACATCCCTTCTCTGCTTAGAACCATCTCATGGCTCCATCTGACTCAGAGTGAAAGCCAAGTCCTCACTAGGGTTCTGGAGGCCCTTAATCACCTCCCAAACCTCTCCTTGCCCACTGACTCACTCTGCTCCAGCCACACAGGCTTCTTCCGGTCCTCATACACACTGGCCTCTTTCCTACTTCAGGACTTTTGTGTTGGCTGTTCCCTCGGCCCAGAATGCTTTCCCCAGTTCTCCTCACAGTCGTCCCTTTTCATTGTTCAAGTTTCTGCTCAAGCCTTTTCAGAGCGATCTTCCCCAACCATGCAGATAACACCTTCCTTTCTAACATATCACCTCATTTTATTTTCTTCTTTACGTTGATTACCCTTGATAAATTATTTTATGTATTTACTTGCTGATCGTCTGCTTCCCTGGTGGGCTGAATCCATAAGAAAAGCCTGGCAGGGCTGGTCGAGTGGCTCAGTTGGTTAAGAGCTTGCTCAAGAGTACAAGCTCTGAGCAACAGGGTCGCCGGTTACATTCCCACATGGGCCAGTGAGCTGTGCCCAGGCTGAGCTGCCACTGAGCTGCCAACAGGTGGCAGGATGGCTCAGCTGGTGAGAGCACATGCTCCTAACAAGGTTGCCTGTTCCAGAAGGTGGGCTATGCCCTCCTGCAACTAAAGACTGAACTTGGCACCTTGAGTTGAACTGCCCCCCAGGTGGCTCAGGGGATAGAGTGTGCACTCTTAACAAGGAGGCTGCTGGTTTGACTCCCACATGGGATGGTGGCTACACACACCCTCAACTAATTGAACACAGCACGTTGAGCTGAGTGGCGTGACTAGACTTGGAGCTGAGCTTGCTGTGCCTTCCACAACTAAGATTGAAGGACAACAACTTGGCTGTTCCCCTTCCCCAATTCCGCAACACTGTTTCCCTCCCCCAATTCCCCAATAAAAAACAAATGTTTAAAAAAAAGCCTGGACATGTTATCATTGTATCCCCCCATTGTAAAGAAAGAGGATCTGACTCATAGTAGGTGTTGCATGAACAAATAAAGGTATTATTACTGCATTTTTACAGATAAGGAGAGAAGGTTCATGGAATAAAACTCTATGCCCAGGGTTAGACTCTGGAAACTTGTTGCTAGCATTCACTGAGCCCTTCCTATGAACAAGGCACTGTGCTAAGTGCTTCACACATATTTAATCATTTTATGAAGTGAGCATGATCACTACCATACCCTTGTTAAAGATGAGGAAAGTTTGGTACAGAGAAGTTAAGTAACTTGCCTGAGATCACACAGCTATTATGTAGCAGAGCTGCCATTTGAACCCAAGCAAACTAGTTCCAGAGCCCAAAGTGTTAACTATCATGCTATACTTCCTCCAAGTAAATGTTAATCAGTGGCAGATTCAAACCCAGGTCTGCAGCCTCCGGAACTTCATTTCTAGACCACAACATCCTACTGTCTTCAAAAAGCTCACTTGAGCCAAAACAGTCTTGCAAAAGAACAAAGCTGGAGGACTCAAACTTCCTGATTTGCAAACTTACTACAAAGCTATAGTAATCAAGACTGTGTGGTACTGGCATATGGATAGACATATAGAGCAATGGAATAGAATTATACCCAGATATAAACCTTTACATTTATGGTCAATTGGTTTTTGACAAGGGCGCCAAGACAATTCAATGGGGGAAAGAATAATCTTTTCAACGAATGATACTAGGATAACTGCATATTCACATATCAAAGTTGGACCACTACCTCACACCATATATAAAAATTAACTCAAAATGGATTGAAGACCTAAGTGTAAGAGCTAAAACTAAAAAACTCTTAGAAGAAAACATAGGAGTAAAGTTTTATGACCTCTATTTAGTCAAAGCCTTCTTAGACAACACCAAAAGCACAAGCAACAACAACAAAAAATTGATAAATTGGACTTCATTGAAAATAAAAACTTTGGTACTATTTTATGGTATGTAAATTATACCTCAATAAACAAAATCTTTGTACTTTAAAGGACACCTTCAAGAAAGTGAAAGGACAACCCCCAGAATGTGACAAAATATTTACGAATCATATATCTGATAAGGAACTAGTATCAGGCTATATTAAGAAAATTTACAGGGCCGGCCAAGTGGCGCGATGGTTAAGAACTGGCTTGGGACGCCAGAGGGCCCCGGTTCGGATCCCACATATGAGGGCCAGTGACACTGCCCTCCACAGCTAAGATGCTGAACAGCAGCTCAGCCTGGAGCTGGGCTGCCCATGAGTTGCCGGCGACGACGTAGGTTACAGTCCCTGTGGCAGTGGGTTGCCATGGGCTACCGTATGTAGCCAGCAGCCAGCATGAGCAGCCAGCGTGAGCATCCAGCAGCCGCAGTGAGCGGCTGTCCAGAAGCTGGCGACTGATCTGCCTCACCCAGGAGGAGCGCAGTGATGGTGCCAACTTGGGTCAGTGAAGCAACGTCCTCCACAACTAGACTGAAGAACAAGACGACAGTTCCCCTTCCCCCAATTCCCCAGCGCTGTTCCCACCCCCCAATTCCCCAATAAAAATCTTTTACAAAAAAAATCTTTAAAAAAATTTACAGCATAACAATAAAAAGACAAAGGGCCAGCTGAGTGGCTCAATTGGTTAAGAGCTCGCTCAAGAGTGTGAGTTCTGAGCAACACTGATTTGATGCCCAGCCCGAGCTGAGCTGCAGCTGAGCTGCCAACAGGTGGCAGGATGGCTGAGCTAAAAAAATAAATAAATAAAGGAGTAATAAAAAGACAACCCAATTTTTAAATAGGCAAAGGACCTGAATGGACATTTCTCCAAAGATTGATAAATGGCCAATGAGCACATGAAAAGACGTTCAACATCATTAGTTATGAGGGAAATGCAAGTCAAAACCGCAATGAGATACCATTTCATGCAGATTAGGATGGCTATAATTTTTTTAAAAATGGACAATCGCAAGTGTTAGTAAGGATGTAGAGAAACTGGAACCCTCATATATTGCTGATGGGAATGTAAAATGGTGCAGCTGCTTGGGAAAACAGTCCGGCAGTTCCTCAGAAGTATAAAAGAGTTAATATATAACCCAGCAATTTTATTCCTAGGTATACACCAAAGAGAACTGAAAACACATGTTTACACAAAAACATGTACACAAATGGGCATAGCAGCATTATTCATAATAAAAAAGTGGATATAACCCAAATGTCCATCAATTAATGAATGGATAAACAAAATGTAACACATCCATACAACTGAATATTATTCAGCCATAAAGAGGAAATACTGATACATGCTATAATATGGATGGGCCTTGAAAACATGCTAACTGAAAGAAGCCAGCCACAAAAGGCTACATGTTGTATGATTCTATTTATATGAAATGTCCAGAATAAGCAAATTCATAGGGACAGAAAGTAGATTAGTGGTCTCCAGTGGTTGGAGGGATGGGGAAGGGTTTCTTTTTGGGGTGATGAAAATGTTCTATAATTAGTGGTGATGGTTGCACAGTTTTGCGAATACACTAAAACTACTGAATCTCACTTTAAATGGTGAATTTTTATGGTTTGTAAATTACATCTCAAAATTTTAATGGCAAAAAAGCTTACTTGAGCACCTATTATGTTCCTGGTGGGACACTGGTGATTTTGTGAATCCTTAAGGTCCCCAAGGTCTGGCGGTGCCACTACTATTAAAAAATGTCAGGCATGGGTAAACTGAGGTCCACACAGAATGAGCCCAAATCCGCTGCATTCACTCACCTCACCCTTGCAGGAGTAGTTGATCTTTAGGTAGTAAGGGAAGCCCATGTATTTCTGCAAGGAGAAGTTGGGCAAATGTCTAGAGCCCAGTGGGGTGCGGGGTCAGGACCTCTCCCGTTCGCCTGACCCCAGGCCCCTCACCTCGTTCGGGTCGATGGGCGCGTCCACCAGAAGGCTGAACAAAACGTCCACTGTGTCCAGGGGCTCTTGATTAAAGAAGCGGTCGCTTCCGTCGTTCTTACCTATCGTCTCGAACCGGTTCAGGACAACCTGCCAGGTGCACTCCTGGTTATCCTCGATAGCCCACAGCCTCCACGGTGACAACAGCACCGCCAGCAGTGCCCACAGCACCCACAGGACTCGGAGTCTTGGCCACGCAAAACCAGCAGGGGTCATCGCAGGGCAGCGTGCAGCCTGGCTGGAACCTAGAGAATGTTGGCGTCATCACCCGCTGGCAAGACTGAGGTGGGCCGCCTTCTGAGATGTCGCCTTTGGAGATCCCGCCTGGCTCCTGCGCTTGGCCCCGCTCCTGCACCTGGACTCGCTTCTGCACGTACTTCTGGCCCCACCCCTGCTCTTGACCTTGGCCCCGCCCCTACTCTTGTACCTGGCTCCGCTCCTGCTTTTTCTCCCGTTTCCCGCTCTGCACCAGACCTCGCTCATGCCCTAGGCCCTGAATCTGCTCCTTTTCCGTATCCCACCTCGGCTATTACTCCAGGTCCTGCCCCTACTCTTGCTCCTGGCCACGCCCCTGCTCCTGGTTTCGCTCCGTCTTCTCATCTCGCCCCTTAATCTTGCCCCTGTTCTTTGCTCTGTGCCTGCTCTGCATCCCTCCCCTACTCTTCACCCGGTCTCGGTTTCTGTTTTTCGCTTTGGCTGCATCCCACCTATTTTCCTCAGTTCTGCTATTCCCCCTGATCTCGCACTTACACCTGCACCTGCCTCTGGCCCCGCCCCCACGTCTTGCTCCACCCGCCCTCCTTTCTTCTCACCGCCCCTTTCTCCTCTCTCGGGCCCTGCTCTGGTACCGGGTCCTGCTCTGGTACCGGGTCCTGTACCAAGCCCCGCCTCTCTTCCGGTCCTGATCCTGGACCTTTTCCATGCCCCGCCCGTTTCTTGCTTAGAACTTGCTCCTGGCTCTGCTTCTTCTCCTTGTCCCGCCGCTGTTCCTCGACCCACCCCTTATCGACCCTCCCTTTCCCCTCGTCCTTGACAAGCTGTTCTTCCTCGGCCTGCTGCTCGCCCCGCTCCCTCATACAGCCCCGGTCCTTCGTAGAGACACATTCTTTGCCTTTCGATCTCTCCTCGCCCCACGCCCTCTCCTTGCTCCGCACCTTCTCATCGTTCCACGCCGGCGCTACCTTGTAGGTCAGCACCTCCTCGATCTTCACCTTCCCGCCAAACCGCGACACCTTTTCGTCCCACCCCTCTCCTCACCACCCCTTTCGGTGTCCTGGACAGCAACAGGCTCTACACCACGCGTCTTCGAGCCCCGCCCCTACTCTTCGCATCGTCTCTTAGCCTTTCCCTGCTTCTTGCCCGCCCTTTCTCCTCCCATCCCCTCCTCTGCCCGGTCCTTCGACTCTACCTTTCCCCTGCCTCTCCCATCCTCGCCTCCCCCCTCCCCCCCTGTGAAAGTACCAGGCACCTCCCTCTTCTCCCCACCCCGCGGTACCAGTCACTTAGGTCAAACCGGTCAACTGTCACTTGGCCGCTCCAGTCCCGGCCCTCTTGCCCGGTCTCAAAATGGCCGCCCGCACTTCGGCAACCTACTTCGCCGTTTCCGAGGAACACCTGCCTCACACGCCAGTCTTAACGCTCTTAGGGCTTGGGGGTAAAGGAAAGGCGATGCTAAACACCCAGGCGAGCGGGGCCTGGCCGGCAGAGGGTGCTGGGAACAAAGTTTGTGAACCTACGCGTCTTTCTACCCAATCTAAAAATTCTACACCTAAAAATAAAGTTTGGTCTCTTCCTGGGTATTAATTTGACTGCGGCTTAACACCTGTTCTACAAAACAGAGACAAATGCAGCCATCGCGTAGAGTTGTGGGAAGTCAATAAGATAACATGTGAAGAATGTCTGGCACAAGTAAATATTCAATAAGTTAACAATTTTCATTTGTAACTTTTTAATGAACTACAAAGCTGAATTTTCTCTAAACTCGTGTTTCTCAAACTTTAGAGTGCATTAGATTCACTAGAAGAGTGTGTTAAAACAGATTGTTGGGCTCCATCCCCAGAGTTTTTTATTCATAGGTCTAAGATGGGGCTGGAAAATGTCTATTTCTAGCAAGTTTCCAGGTGTGGGGACAAAAAACAAAATTTTCCTGCCACCTTTCTAAGTTCTTCTGGCTGGACAAATGATCAAATTAATATGAGACAGATTAACAGGAGAAAATGTCACAAGTTATTATAATTACGGATGTACATGTGGGGCTGTCATAAGATAGAAGACCCTAAGAAGCATTGGGCAGTTGAGATTATATGCCATTCTGGAGTTAAGGAGAGAGGTGGGGTTGTTTTGGACTTCAAAGGGCAAGAAGATAATTCACATGGAGATGGAGAAGCAAATGTTTGGTAAATAAACATTTGGTGAGTCATGTTTAACAATGGAACACAGAGGACTTTGATCAAAAAATGTCTTTCTAGGTTCCTTATCACACCTAGTTTATATATATATATATATATATATATATATATATTTAAATTTTTTTATTGGGGAATTGGGGGAGGGAACAGCGTTGGGGAATTGGGGAAGGGGAACAGACAAGTTGCTATCCTTTTGCTCTTCCGTCTAGTTGTGGAGGACCTGGCTTCACTGGCTCATGTTGGTATTATCATTGCGCTCTTCCCGGGTGAGGCAGATCAGTCGCAGGCCATTGGACGGCCACTCCCAGCAGCTCACGCCAGCTGCTGGCGGCTCTCGCTGGCTGCTGGCCACTTACAGTAGCTTACTACAGCCCTATTGCAACCCCACCGCAGCCTATGCTGTGGCCGGAGACTCACAGCAGCCCAGCTCCAGGTTGAGCTGTTGTTCACCATCTTAGCTGTAGAGGGCAGTGTCACTGGCCCCTCATGTGGGATCTGAATCGCAGCCCTGTGCTCAGAGCTGACTCCCAAGCAAACTCTTAACCAACTAGCCACTCAGCCGGCCCTGGCATAAATAAGTTCATATTAAACTATAGTCATCTGTGATGATAGTTCCCTTCCTGGAGCCTGTCCTCTATCTAAATTCCTTCAGGCAGTTAGAGGGAAGGTCAAAGGTTTTTCCTGAGTCTTTTGTTTCTTAAAAATAACCACCTTAAAATAATATCTCAAAAGGCTTATTTTGGGGTGGTAAAGTTTGGTCCCCCTCACAGGTGATGCTGATACTGATGGTCTGGGGACCACATCTTGGGAACCAGTACTCCAAAACATTCTATGACTCCCCAGGACCTCAGGGAAACCTCCAAAATTGATTTCAAGAGCCATGTATAATCTCACGTCTGTTGGCTTTCCTATCCAGCTCATCTCTTTTCTCCCAATAGACCTGTGTAGCCCACTGCCTAGTCACACGGAGCAACTGGAATTCCTGGATAGGGAGTGCTTTCTCTCCTCCAGACTGCGCACACTGTAGCACCTTCTGGAATATTATTCCCTACTTCATCAGCAGCTGACCACTTTCCTTCCCTCAGTTCTTTGTGATACATGACCAGCAGCCCCATCCCTCCCCTGACCACACTAAGCCATGACTGGGAATGGGTCTTTGTTTCTCACTGAATCACAGGTTCCCTGACAACACAGCCTAGGGCTTTCTCTGTCACTGTTATTCCTGACTCTGTCCAACACAAAATAGGTTTTATGTAAATGAACAGTTGATGGACGTCTACACTCCCCACCCCCACAGGCCAGGAAGGAATGACTTCATCCGAGGGAAGAAACTCAGCTGCTGTGTACCTGAGCCCTTCTAGATTCCAGAACAGAGTCAGAGACTGGGATCTTCTCACGGCACCCCCACTCGGGAACACAGCCCCTCTGGGGTGGGGGTGCCTCTGTTAGATCCTGATGCACCCTTGATGCCAGAGGTGGCCAACACCCACATGTCCATTAAGGAGACACTGAAATAACTTTTGGGATATGTGTCCTAGAGGAGGCACTGCAGACATAAAAAAGGACTGTATGTCCCTGGAACAGTCTCCAAATTACACTGGGTTGGTAAAAAAACCAAGGTGCAGCAATAAGAATAATATTTTTAAAAAGTATATAAAAATTATGTATTTATATATAATATAAAAAAGCAAGGTGCAGAAATTATACTAATCATTAGCCAACATTTTATTAAGTACCAGACACTGTTCTAAGAGCTTTACAGATATTAAGTGGCTTAATTCTCTGACAAGTCTATGAGGTAGGTGCTGTTACTGTCCCATTTCACAGATTGGCAAACTCAGGCACAGGGAGGTAAAATCACTTGCCCAAAGCCACAGGTCTTGGGAGTGACAGAATTCAGACTTATACTCAGGGACTCTGCCTCCAGAGTGCAATGTTAACCACCTCACCATACTAGGTATCACTTGTGTAGAGGGAAATAAAAAATGACACACATATGTTACACACATGTATATTCCTGGTACTTGCCTGAAAGGAGACCTGAGAAATCAGTCAGCACAGCCTGAGTGTAGGAGAAAGACTGACCTTCCATTGTACACTCTTTAGTACCTTCTGAATTTTTAGCAGGCACTTTTTTTTTTTTTTTTGGTCTTGAACTGAACAGGGCCTGGTTTCTTTTTCTAGGGGAATTTGGAAGGAGAAGTGATGAGGAGCAGAAGCCAGATCACACAGTCACCTACCTCCCTCAAGAAGGTGAGAAACAACTGCTTCCCCAGCTAGCTGCTGACTTTGGCAGCAAGGTCAACAATGACCACGGTGAGGACCCGGAAAACTGGGAGGCTGAGAGAGAGCTAGACAGCAGATGTTTGGTGGGACAAGGTGACCAACCAAACCTTCCTCAACTCTCAGTTTTGCACTTCCTGTGTGACCTTGGCCAAATTATTTAACTTCTCTGGGCCTTCTTTCTTCAACAGTAAAATGTGGAGAGAATGTACCTAACAGAGTTGCGGAGAGGGTTAAATAAATTATTATATATCAAAGGCTTGGAGCAGTACCTGGCTCCTAGTAAATCCTACATACCATATTTTGCCGTGTATAATGTGCTCCCATGTATAATGTGCACCCACGTTTTTGGCCCAAACTTTCAGGGGAAAAAATCTTTCATTTTAATTTTTTAATTCAAATATTTATTTGCTTATATTTAGGTACATGTTTTTTTGTATTATAAAGAAATTTTAGCATTTATTTATTTACTTATTTATATTGTACTTTTAACTCATAAGCATAAATAAAAGAATTAAAAACATTTATATAGATACGGAATTAGTACTACCCATGTATATTGCACATCCTTATTTTTCCCTCACAAATTTGGGCAAAAAAATTGCACATTACACATGGCAAAATACAGTAAGTGTTTTCTATTACTGTTATTAAAACAATCTCATGTGCCTTTTTAGCATGATTTGACAATGTTGACTTCTCCTGCCTTGAAATTCTCTCATCTCTTACCAATACTCCTCACCCTTCTGGCTTTCCTACTCCTCTCTGGAACTCCTTTTCTGTCTCCTTTGTAAGCTCTTCTCTCTGGTATGAAGACATTGGTTGAAGGGTCACTGCTTGCCTTTATGTTACTTAGGAAAAGAAGCCCCCTTTGGACATATTTGGCTTTGAACTTCAGCCCCTCTTTGTTTCCACCCTGCCAGCCAGGCATCTCTTATGTAGGTCCCAATCTGCATAATTGTACATGATGGACCTGGCTGATTAATCAATCTCTACCCATCCTCCCAGTCTTCTGCCTTTCTAATAGAAGCCCAGTTTCTTTCAAGTATTCACCAGCATCTAAACTGATACCTTATCCCCAGCCTCAGTTTCCCCCCCTTAGGGGAAATCCTGAGGAATCCAAGCTAATTATAGTGGCTCTATCACTCTGGCCAATGATTGTTTTAGGATGGACATGTGAGCCAACTTTGGCCAATGAGATGGAAAAGGAAGCCTGCTGGGAGGCTTTGGTTTCCTTGCTTCCAAAGAGATAACATGGGAAATGATGCCTGCCCCCTCTTTCTTGTACTAAAAATTACCATGTCTGGTTGTGATGCCTGGACCGGCAGCAGCCACTTTGGGGCCATGAGGGGAGCCCATGTGGAAGCCAAGTCTTCAGCTGAGGGTGGCAGAGAGGAAATCTGGGGCCATAAGGTCCTCCTGGAGCTGTGGGTTGTATCATGCCCAGAGCCCTCCCCAACTTTGGTGTTGTGCAATATACAATTATGTCATTGTTTTACCTAGTGCCAATCAAGATTTTATTACTTGCTGCCCAAATCCTTGCTTCCTGATATAAATATATAAGTACCCTAAGGCTGATTTCTCGAGGCTGGTCTTCTCTTCACCCCACCCAGGGCTGCCACACCCACCCTCATGGACTTGGTTCTCAAATCTGTCTCCGGCCTCCACTACCCCCTCAGTCCCAGCTCCGAGGGTCCTGTGACCTCCTGATATCTTTCCCTGTGTATCTTTAGCCCCTCACAACCACCATGTTCCAAGCCAGCCTGAGGATCTCCCCTCAACCCTGTTCTTTGTCCCAGATTCCCATCACAAGGGCAGCTGACCATCCATTGGGCCTTCCTCTGGCCTTATCCTTCCCAAGTCCATAAGGCCTATAGCCTGTCCACTTGGCCTCCTGTATCCCTCCACCTGCACCTCCTCCCCTTGGCCCTACCCAGCCCCATCACCTCCTGCTTTGTTCCTGTCCCGGCCTCCCCTGGGCACCTGGCCTTGGTTGCCCACTCTGATCTACGTCCACAGAGAAGCTACGGGGAATCTTCCTATGGCACAAATCTAATCATGACCTTCTCTTGCTCAAAACCCTTCCACAACTCTCTAGTGCCCTCAAGAAAGAAGCTAAGTGCCCAAGCTGGGCATTTAAAGACACTTAAGATGTGCCCATGTCAACCACTCCACCCTCCTTCTCCCGTTCACTCCACACTTGTCACAGAAGCTGACGTCCAACATGCTTTCCTACCTCCAGGCCTTTGCACACTTGGTTCCACCTGCCAGGAATGCCCTCCCCATGCATTCTCCACTTGTCTACTGTCAAGGCCCAGCTCAGATGTCCCGTTCTTTCTGTCACCTCCAAAGGGCTTGGTAGAGGTAACAGTTCAGTTGATGGGCCTTTGGCAGTAAATGCTATTACTGAGGTACCATCTCGGGAGGGGGAAAATCTGGGGGGAATAACAAATTACCTCCTAGCTCTGTGTCTAAGACAAGGGACCTCCCCTCCCTGTGCCTCAGTCTCTCATGTGTGGAAAGGGGATGATAATATTATCTTCCTCATATGTAAAGTACACAAAACAGGGCCTGGCCAAAGAAAGCATCACAGAAAAACATGGCAGGCGCTGTGAAGTCATCTTGTGAAATGAAATGGGTACTATTATTATTGCCATTTTACAGACGAGGGACCTGAGAATCACAGATGGGAAGTGATTGTCTGAGAACATGGGAAGGACACAGCTGAGTTGGGAACTGAGCCCTAGCAGGCTGGCTCCTGAGCTCAGTGCGCAATACGCAATTAGTGCTCAGTAAACGGGGGTGGCTTTTACAATGGTGTCACAAATAAGAGCAGTACCTTCCATGTCATTTGGATCCAGACTGGGATCCTGTTTCCTGCGTGACAGGCTACTCAGGAAGATTCTAGCACCTAGGCCTACCCCAGGGCTCTCTGCTTGGGTCTTGTTTCCTGGTGACACCTGAGGAAAATCAGGTACACCTTCTTTCCTTGACTACTCTTCATATTTCAGGACTGAGTTCAGTTGTCCCTTCCTCCAGGAAGCCCTCCCTGACCTTCAAAGTTGGATTGGGTACATTCCCTATTTGTCCATCACACCACTGACCACTCTCCCTCCCCCACTGAAGTCCTGCCAGTCTGGGCTCACTGTATGTGGACAGGTCTGTCTACCTCACTGGACTGTGAGCCCTATGAGAGGGGGGCCCAGCTACCTCGACCACTACTGTGTCCCTAGTACTGCCCAATGTGGGCTGGCACAGAGGAGGGAGTTTTGGATGAGTGAGTATATTCTTCCCACCTGACAGACAAGGAAATCAAGGTTCAGGGAGGGCAGTCACTTGCCCAAGGTGTAGTGACCGATCTAGTGCCCAAAATGAGGTCTGAGCCCAGAGGCTGATAGAACTGGCATGGCTGAGTGAGAGAGGCAGATGTAGTAAGTAAAAGGATAAGAAACAAAGAGATGGTAAGAGGGAAAGACATAGACAGTGAGAAAGCCAGAGAGGCACAGAATATGGTGGAGGTAAGAGAAAGGGCTGGGAGAACAAGGTGATGCTGGTGCTGGGGGAGCCCAGGAGAGGTACAACAAAGGACAGACAGTTGGTGGCAGTGCCTTATGACACCAGCATGTGCCCATGATGTTCTAATACATCAGCTCCAGTCATCTGGCCCCTCAGCCAAAGGCCAAGTCCATCCAGCGTCAGGGTGCCTGCCCCAGCTACCTGGGTATGGAGGCATAGTTGGCATGGGAGCCAGCATTGAGTTGCTGGTGTAGGTCTGGCTGGGAGCCCAGAATATCCACCCGATCGTCCTCATCCTCATTGAAGCTGGCAGGGCACGGTCTGGGCAGCAGGATGAGCTCTGTGAGGCCATGAAGGTCGGACACGTGGCGGAAAGTCTGCAGCACCAGAACCATGGCGACCAGCCCCAGGAAGAGGTAGGCTGCAGAGATGGCAGAGGAGCGATGGCTGGATTCTTACCCTGGGCAGGGCCAAGGGGCTACAGGACCCCCACCCCAGGGTGAGGCCATGACCCTCAACTCCCCCTCAGACAGGACCAGGTGTCCCTCAAACCCTCCAGGGCAAAACTGTGTCCTGCCCTCAGTCCCCAGCCAGCCACCCCACTCACCTGTGACCAGCACCTTGTAGAGTGCCCGGTAGGGCTGGCCAGGAGCCTCCCCAGGCACATAGTCACCCAGGCCGATGGTGGACAGAGAGATGAAGCAGAAGTAGAAGGCATCCAGGAAGCTCCAGGCCTCCTCAAGGTGGGCAAAGACTGCAGCGGGCACCAAGAAGCAGATGGTCACCACGAACCCCAGCAGGACCACCAGGTGACAGCGGGCTGCCCGCCGGGAGTCCCAGCCCCAACGCGTGCTCAGCCAGGACAGGGGTGCATGGGTCAACAGCAGCGACAGGCGTTGGGCCGAGGCGGTCAGCAGCAGCATGGTGGCCGGCACACCCAGGAGGGCAAAGGCGATGGAAAAGGCCTTGCCTGCGTCAGTCAGCGGTGTCGTGTAGCCGTAGCCTGCGGAAGTGACGAGGAAATCCTTCTGGCCACTCGGCACCCACACTTGGGGGTCTATGGCCACCCTAAACCAAGACCTAATTTTACTCTTGAACCTGCCCTCCTCCCATTCTCGTCTCCGGTGATGGCACCTCCATTCTTCTGGTTGCTCAGGCTAGAAGCTTTGGTCTCATCCTTGACTCCCTTATCACTCACACCCACTTTACATCTGTCAGTGAATCTTGTTGTCTCCAATTTCAAATAGATCCCAAACCCACCCACTTCACCCCCCCTACCCCCCACCCTGGTCCTATCTACCCCAGCAGTCTCCTCCCTGGCCTCCCTTCTCCCCTGACCCTCGCCGCCAGTCTGTTCCCCCATGCAGCCAGAGGGATGCTATGAACACTTGTGTTAAGTCATGTTCCTTCTCTGTTTAGAGCCCTCCTGTGGCTCCATCTCATTCAAGTGAAAGCACAAAATCCTCATCATGACCCACAAGGCCCCACATGATCCAGCAGGGAAAGCACACTCTCACCCCAGGACCTTTGCACTGACTGTTCTTTCCCCATGGAACACTTCCCTCAGGTGTATCCACAGGGCTCCCTTCCTCCCCTCCTTCAGTCTTTGCTCAAATGACACCTTCTCAGTGAGGCCTTCCTTAACCACCTTATTTTAAATTGTTACACCCTCTTACTCAACTCCTTTTGGGGAGGGCAGGAGGTCCCTTACATAGCACTTAACATCTTTTAGCATATTGTATGGTTTATTTATTTGTTACTATCTGTCTCCCCTACTAGGGGGCCAGCTCCAGGAGGGCAGGAGCTTCTGTCTGCTTTGTTCACTGTGGTAGCCCTGGTATCTGGCACAGAGTGGGCACTCAATCAATAGTTGAAATAATAAATGAAGGGTGTAGGCTCTTGCCTGGCTTGGAGCCTTAGTTTCCTTTACTCTAAAATGGGTATGACAAGCCCCACTAGGTTCCTGGAGGGCCGTGGGAGCCCAGGAAGATCAGTGTGAGTGTGAGTTCTGCAAACAGAAACATGATAAAGGGGAATTCAGGTGTTGGTGAGACTGGCTTACTTTAGCAATGTGTAATTTAAAATCTTTTTCTATTTCCCCAAACCAAAAGGTCAGAGATATGACTAGGGTGGCAAGGGGCCTGGTTTATGTTGACAGTAAAATGTCTTACTTCGAAAGACTACAGATCCAGTCCTGTGATGAAAAGCATGGAAACGAGGAGGCATTCACCTGCGTCCATCTTCCATACAAAAGGATCACCTGGTTTTTATGTCCTCAAAAGAGCTGAAAGCAGGGGCTTGAAGAGACACCTGTACACCCATGTTTACAACAGCCAAAAGGTGGAAACAACCCAAGTGTCCATCGATGGATGAATAGATAAACAAAATGTAAACATATACAATGGAATATTATTCATCCTTATGAAGGAAAGAAATTCTGTCTGACACATGCTAAACATGGATGAACCTTGAGGATATTATGCTAAATGGAAAAAGCCAGCCACAAAAAGATAAATACTATATGATTCTATATGATTCCATTTATATGAGATACTTAGAGTAGTCAAAATCATAGAGACACAAAGTAGAATGCCAGGCCCAGCCTGCCAGGGGCTGGGGAGAGGGGTGAATGAGGAGTTAGTGTTTACTAGTTTCAGTTTTGCAAGATGAAAATTGTTTTGGAGATGGATGGCGGTGATGGTTGCACAACAATGTGAATGTACCTAATACCACTTAAGTTTACACTTAAAAATGGCTAAATGGTAAATTTTATGTGTATTTTACCACAGTAAAAAAAACTGGGGGAAAATAAATCACCCTGTTTTTTTGTTGGACACCTGGTCACCTGGAATAAAGACATTTCCTCCTCCTTTACAGCAAGGTATGACTCTGAAATAATTTCTGGCCATTGAGGTATACATGAAAGAAGCAAGCAACTTCCATGAAGTATCCTAAAAGACACTTAAAGAGAGGGAGATGCCTATCTCCCTTCTTTCCTTCCTCCTGCTGGCGGGACACAGACATGAAGGCTGGGGTTGAGAAGCCACCTTGCACCATGACCTTGGGAATGAAAACCCTGCATAGAGGAGTAATGGAGGAATATAAGGTGCTCTGACCATGCAGCATCATTCTGGCCTTGGACTGGCTGTCTTGAATGTGAGCAGGAAATAAACTTCCAACTTATTTAAGCAACTGTTATTTGAGGTTTATTATTTATGGTTCCAACCTTCATTAAAACAAGGTTTTTTGATGGAGAAACCCCAGCAGCCTGGCTGGAACGACAGGTTTGCAAATGACACGAAATCCTTATAAACAGAAAAATCATAGTGTTAGACTAGAATGGGGGCTGTGTGCCTCAGCCTGCTTCCTCAAAGAGCCCAGTCCAAATCAGTACCTTGCCATTGGTTTCCTGTATGACCTTGGCCAAGTGACTTCTCTCTGAGCCTCAGTTTCCTCAGAGTCCTGCAAAATGGGCTCATAAACAACGCCTTCCTCGAATGCAATAGTAATAATCCTAACAGGCTGGGATAGGGCGTAGCATCTAGCAAGGCATAGAAAGCGTTACCATGACTGTCATGCTCGCATCCTGTCTCCTGAATCCCCGTCCCCATAGGCTGACTCCTCCACCCCGGGCTTTGGTTACAGCAAAGCTGCCTGGGTCAACTCCAGGCCCCAGGTCTCCTCAGAGGACTTGAGCTTGTGGCAAGACCAGGGGCGCTGTGAGAGAGGTCTCTCTAAAAGATGTCTGCTGTTCCGTTTCTCAGATGCATTCCGAGCTCTTCAGGCTTCCCCACCCATAACAATGAAAACCGAGGCTCAGTGAACCTCAGTGATTATCACCAGTCCTTCACACCGACAAAGACTCCCTTCTGACCAAGCTTTAGTCAGGCTCCTCTGAGCCCTCCTCTTGACTAGGCCTAGTTTTAGCAGGAATCCTAAATCAGCTTAGGGAAAATCCCACCCCACCCTACTCGTTATCTGATCAAATTCCTCATCCTCCACCCTTGAGAGCTAAGGCTGTGGCCTGTCTTTCTCAAGAATCCGATTAAGCCAGTAAACAAGAATCCCCCTACCTGTCTCCTCTTAGTAATTTTCCATCCACTGACCCCCTCACTCTGCTCTCAGTTGTATATCTCCAGCTGTCTTTATTATATTCAGAGTTGAGTTCAGTCTCTCGCCCCTATTGCAATAACTTACCATTTTTAACAAGTGTCCAAATAATTTTTCTTTTACCATATATACATATCACCCCCTTCTTTGTGCAGGCCTAAGAAGTAGTATGGTGTGTTGGTTAAAAGCACGGGACTTTGAGGCCTGATGGCCTCGGTTTAAATCTCCCCTCTACACCTTCCTAGTTGTGTGGCCTTGGACAAGTTGTCCAACCTCTCTGGGCCTCAGTTTCTATTGCTAAAAAAAATAGGGCCACTAATGATACCTGCCTCACAAGGCTATTGTGCTGATTGAGTTAAAGCTCATATGTGGCAAGTCCTCTACCAGGTATGACTATTACTGTGAAGTGGGGAGTGTTATTATCCCCATTTCACAGATGACCGAGGACACAGAGGCCTAGAGCTGAGCAGCGGCTGAGCAGGGATCCAAACCCAGGCTGTGCCCGCCCTGAGTTTGGCTTCTTCGCCTGTCCCGCCTGGGACAACTTTTCAGAAGCCAGGATCTGGGAGGCGGCTGATGAAGAAGACACTCATGTGACCCAGTGAAGCGGTGGAGCAGGCCAAGTGAAGCAGAGAAGCAGGTCAGGCAGGCCCCGCCAGCGTCGGGAACAGTCTCTAAGGAGCATCCAGCCCTGCTGCCTGTGGCCTTGGTTTGCTGGTCCACACAATGGGGCAGCAAAGGGAAATGCCACCTGCTGCGATGGGCAGGGAGAGGGGCTTAGGGGTCTGGGCTAGGCCTGCCTTAGCAGACCCCATCCCTGTTGAACTCCTGAGCAAGGAAAGGAAAAGGAAGTTTGGGGGAGGGGACTGGAAAGATCAGCAGGGCCTGCCGACAGGGATTCCCCAGGTCTGCTAGGAGTGGAGGTGGAAAGGGATTTCCAGGGTAGGGCTGTGGGGAAGCGGTTGGTTCCACCCGAGGGGGTGGTTTCAGAGAAGGGGCTCTGGGAGACTGTGATCTGAAATCAGAGGATAGTGTCCTGGTTTGAAACAAATCCTGGTTTAGGGCTGGGGTCCTGGGACCAGAGGAAAGAGGGGACAGGCACCAGTGGGGGCATTTTCCGGATCACAAGTGGGCTTGGGAGGGGAATCCTCAGGTGGAGGGGGGTTCTGAGCCCAAGGATGCCTGAGGGGACATGACGGGGGTAGACAAGGCTAAGGGAATAATGGGAGGGGGTGGACCTGGCTGAGAGTGTCAAGGGTAGAAAGTGGCTGCTGGGGAAGGTTCCTGGGTGGAGAGGGCCTGGAGTGTCCTTAGTGGAGGGGAGCAATTCAGGTCCAAAGCAGGCTGGGGCAGTATTGGGGTAGACAGGGAAGTCCCAGATGTGGGTCTGGAGATTGGAAGGGTTCCAGGTACCCAGGAAATTCCCTTTCTTGGGAAATCTAAGGTGGGCAGGGGGTCTCGGGGCAGGAGTAACAGGTGCAGAGAGCTGAGTCCCTGGGCTGGCATCATGTGTGTGTGGGGGGGGATTCTCCTCTCAATGACAGTGTGTGTGACGGCACAGGGGTCCCTGATAGGAGGTCCAGGTGGTTCTGGAGCTCTTGCTGAGGGGTGTCAGGGTCCACAGAGTGGTGAGAGCCTCAGCTAGGGATTCTCAGGTTCAAAGAAGCCACCATGGGGGTCCCTGGTTTGGAAAGCAGTAGGGTTTTTGCTGGAACCAGTTTTGGGATTGGAGGGGAGAAAGTCCTGGCTAGGGGGATTCTGGTTGGAAAGTCAGTAGTCCTTCCTGGAGGGTGCTCTGCCTCCTTCCATGGTGGGTCTCTCTCACACATCCACAGTTGGGGGCAGCTGAGTTGGAGGTTCCAGGTTCAGAGGGAACTGGGGTGTCGCCATTGAGAGGAAAACCCTTCATTGAGGGCTTCCCAATACAGAGATGTCAAGATGGAGTCAAGTATGTGGAGAGGGGTCCTGTGTCTGGAGTCAGGGCTACCTGCTGGGGAGTATGACGATAGGGTGGTCCTCTGTCTAGAGGCGGGCAGGGGCCCTTGCAGGAGTGTGGTCTAGGTCCAGAGGGGTGGACATCTCAGACAGAGGCCCCAGGTCCTGGCTGAAGGATCTCTACTGGCAGAAAGGTCGTTAGTGATGGCACCCTGAATGGTCTGGAGATTCAGAGTCCTCGCTGGGGCACCAGGGTCAGGAGGAGGTTGGGGTAGGGCTTCCCAAGGGGCGACCCAGGACATATCTGGAGAGTCAGGAGACATTGTTGGAGGGGATGGCGGTTTGAGCCCAGAGAGAAGGGGTGGCTGAGGTCTGGGTCCAGAGAGGGTAAGGGTTTCAGGCCAAGGGTCCCTGGTCCTTTCTGGAGGTCTCTGAGGGTAGTCCTAGGTCCAGAGGAGACTGGACAGACCCGGGTCTCCAAAGGGGTTAAGGCAGAGGAATAGGGTTCCAGATGCTCTCTGGCAGGTACTCTGAAGGTGGCCCTCCTCGCAGAGGGAACCTGGGGGGGGGGGTTTCCTGCTGGGAGGAGAGGCTTGGATGGGGGCTTCCCGAGGGAGGCAGATCCCACAAGTGTGGGTGCAGGTCCTCACTGAGGGATTTTAGGAGATCCTAGGCACAGAGCGTACTGGGAGTGATCTGAGATACAGGTATCTCATGAGGGTTCCTGGGTGTCCCGGGTCCTCGCTGGCTTGAGGGTCGGGGAGGAGTTCACGTACGTACCCACGGTGGTGACCAGCGTGCTGGCAAAGAAGAGAGCCGAGGCAAAGTCCCAGGAGGGGTCCGAAGCGTTGGCTGGCCACGAAGCGTTGGCTAGCGCGGCGCGCCCCAGCCGGCCGGCCGCCAGCACCCGCTCCACGAAAGCATCCAGGGCGGGGGCGGATACGCACGGGCTGCGCCGCAGCAGCTGCTCCCGCAGCGTCTCCAGCTCCGCGCGGAGTCGAGCCTCGTGCGGCCGCTCCAGCCGCGCCACCAGCAATGCACCCAGCCCCAGGTACGCGGCGTAAGCGGCCAGGGCTCCTGCCAAGAGCGCGCCTCGCCGCATGGCGCTGGTCTGCCGGCTCCCCGCCGGCTCCCGGGCGAGCCCCGCCGCCCAGCTGACGTGGCCCCCGCCTCCGGACTGCCCGGCGCCCAGCTTCAGTTCCGGTAGTGCTCGAGGCGAGGCCACCAGCGCCCCAAAGAGGAACCAGAGGAAGAAGGGGAGGGGCGAGAGTGGAGGAGCGCCCCGCCTCCGGGAAACTGAGGCACGCCCTACCGCCAGGTGTTAGTACCGAGAGGGTGGAGCCCAGCGCTCCCGGACCCAGGAGACCAACGGGATGGAAAAGTTGGGGGCATTCTCCTTTTCCTTCCATCCCTCCCCTCTCTGCCTCCCAGGCGTCGGGGCTTCCTAGGTCAGAGAGAATCCGAACTCTCTTTCCCGCTCGCACACTGAGGAGTCGCGCCCCAACTCCTCCGGGCCATCGCTCACGGCTGCGAAGATTGTGCACTGCATCAGGACGAATGGCCAAGGGGACAAAATGACATCCAGGCCTCACTCCTTTCGCCAAGTCATGCGCTCTGGAATGGGGTTGCGTCCACCCAGAGGGGAGGCCTAATTCACAACGAGGGATACAACAGGAGCAGATGTCCCCTGTACCCCCACGGACAGAGTAGGGATCCTTAGCTATTCACCAAATCTTTGCTCAGCACCCACTTGGTGTCCGGCCCTTTACTGGGTGATGCTGGGGACACAGCAGTGACCAAGACAGTTCTGGGACCTGCCCTCAGGGTCTCCCGGCACTTCAGCAGAATGACAGCCCAGAGGGGAGAGGCTGTGATGAGGGAAGTGCAGGCAGAGTGACCAGGGCTGGGGTGAGGGATGCCTAGAGAACTGCAGACAGAGAGGAGGCAACTGCCACAGCTTAGGGAGGTCAAGAGAGGGTCCAGTAGGAGATACCTGATCTGAGATGAAACATGAAAGGTGAACAGGAGTGAACTATGGTCTCGTTTCCTGGAAGAACCACAGATACACACCTCCACTGAAGGGGGAATTTTCCCCTCCATGTTTCCCCTGTACATTTTTCCATATCCTCCTCCAGCTGGAACTCAGCACCCTTCCTGACTGCCTTCTGGAGGGCAGCCCAGAATCCTGACCACATCTGACTGGCAGAGGAGTGGGGCTTGGGGCTCAGCTCAGACATGCTCCAGCTGGTTCTATTTATAAAGCCAGCTCTTGGGGAAGAGCCTAACTTAGGGCTGACAACCCACAGGAAGAGACACCTGATAACAAAACAGTAACAGTAGCGGTCAGCGATCAAAGGCTTCAATATGTCAGTCCCTGTGGACACATGGGCTTGTATTGAATCCTCAACCCCTCCTCTATTATTCCCATTAAACCGATGAGAAAATTTAGGCTTAAAAATCGAGGGCCAGCCGAGTGGCTCAGTTGGTTAAGAGCTCGCTCAAGAGTTTGAGCTCTGAGCAACAGCGGTTCGAGTCCAGCCCGAGCTGAGCAGCCGCTGAACTGCCAACAGGTAGCAGAATGGCTCAGCTAAAAAAAAAAAATAAAAAAAAAATCGAGTAGTCACACAACTGGTAACGCGTGACTGATGCGAACATGAGACCAACAGGAAGTCAAATACTTGCTTTGCTAATAAAAAATATTCACAGAAGAATTTAAGAGAGGGGAGGTTAAGGATGAGGAAATGGTGGTGGAGCCCAAGGGACAGATGCTAAACCAGAGGTGCAGAAGAAAAATGGGGCACCTCACTCACAAAAACAAAAAACCTACGACTGAGCCAGGACTCATAACTGAGAGACCAGACAGTCCTCAAGGTTCCCAGAGAAGACAATGTCTCAGAGGAGGAAATGGAAAGCCACAGTGATAGGGTCATTTGCCGACATCCTTCCTGAGTGCTATCACTGCTCAGAAGTCACTTCTACCATTATCTTTGCATGAGATAAGTGGAGGAGACTGAGGGACAGAAAAAGAGAGGCTGAGGGGGACAAAAAGGGAGGACTGAGGGACAAAGAGGAGAGAGTAAGGAAGCTTAATTCTCAGGACTCCTCTACTGCAGGTGTGCCTGTGTGTGCTCTGAGTTGTTGGGGGTTGTAGAGTGTTTTTGGCGGACCAGGGAAACCAGATCGCAATGCAAAGCGTTTTTATGAATTTCTGGGAAAATGTCTCAAGATATCTTCAAAGACACTTTGGTTCTTCCTACTTAACTTGTTGGGCGTCCTTTTCTCACTCTAAATGCTTAATACCTAAAGTCCGCCAAAATTGTATAAGCACCAGAGCCGGCACCACTCCACTTTGCACCTCGAGAACACAAACGGACCTTTCCTCCTCTGCTCCACACCCTTCCCTGGCTCCCGAGTGCTTTCTGAAAGACACAAATTGAGCGTCGGCCCATAGAGAACTCCATTTCCCATCGGCCTCTTTGCTCGACACCAACATTGCTCATCATGCATGACACCGCCTACTCCTAGGGCAGTTCCCGGCCCCGCCCCCCCGCCTGTCCAATCTTGACTCTCGCTTTACGTCACGGGACTCCAGTCCCCGCCTCTTACCACCGCCAACAAGTCCGGGCCTCCGCGAAAGGGCGAGGCCTCTGCACAATCGTAATGTCCATTGGTTGTGGCGCCGCCAGTAGGGCGTGGCTACGGGAAACGAGCGGGCCCATTTCGAACCGTGGCTGAAGCGGCGGTGGCGGCAGTGGCGGCGGCGGCCAAGGATGCACCCAGCAGGCTTGGCGGCGGCGGGGACACCCCGGCAGCGTAAGTGGCGTACGTGGCCGGCCGTGGAGAGCGGGCGAGCGGGGGCGTGGTGGGGCCACCGCGGCGGTTAGCGAGGTCGCTGCAGGTCGGAGGTCACGAAGTCAGGGATCTGGAACTTCGAGGTGTGCACCGCGCAGGGATGCCAGGTCCGGGTAGGGGCGCTTTAGGATTGATTGTTTTTTTCTTTAGGAAATTCTTTTGGAAGAAAACAACTTTCGGCAGGATATTGTATGATGGGCAGAAAAGCGCGACTTTTATTCATTTGCAGTTGGCGGTCAGCCTGCCCCCTACCCTTCCGTGGCCTCAGGCTTTCGCCCACTCTTTTTAGGACGGCGTTCATAGCCCTCCGTGAGCGCAGAGGGTCGTGGTTACCCCGCATTTAAAATGTGAACCTGTGTTTATTGTACTGTTATCCTCCGTTTCCTGTCTCTGTGAATTTGTATCGCTAAATTCCTCTTCATCTCCGTGAGTGCGTTATCTCATTATCTCATTTATTCATTCAACAATATCCTGCCTCAGCTCCCCTGTGCCTGGCCCTGTACTGGAGTGTGGGTACCTGGTAGTAACCAGCACAGCATTGGTCCTTGTTAATTTACAGCTCAGAGTTTAGTGGAAAAAACAGATACTAAACTCGGAAGCCAACGAGTCAGCAAGATAATTTGGGAGTAGTTAGGGCTGTGAAGGGAATAATCCAGGATATGACTAGGAGTTGAGGAGGCCTCTCTGTTGAGGGAGAAGGTGTGATACCCTTGTTCCTCCCTTCAACCATCAGTCAGGTGCCTGGCTGGCCCTGTGGTGGCTAGTGCTGGGAATACCGCGGTGTCTAGACAGCCTCGGATCCCGTCCTCACGGAGCTACCAGTACAGAGCAGAAGGCAGCGACAGGCTCAAGTGATGGAGCTATGATGAGAGAAGCACAGAGTGGTTATGGCCAGGACAAAGGTGTGGTAGCCCAGATTAGGCACGTGCCCCAGCCTCAGGATGTTAGTGAAGCTTCAGAGAAGAGGATTTGTGGTGAGAGGGAAAAGCATCGGAGGCCTGTGTCAAGTAAACAAGTAGATAAATGAATATATATCTAGCAATTGTGGTAAGTGCTCAGAAGGGAAAAAAGAACCACTAGATAGAACGAAAAGGAACAAGGTAGGGCTGGTGCTCTATATTGATGAGTGGAGAAGGTCTCTCTGAGAAGGAAACATTTGAGCTAAGGCCTGAGGGCTACAGTGATAGGTGTTAATCGTGGGAAGGTGTTCTGAGGTGATAGCACTGGATGTTCAAAAGCCATTGGGGGGGCGGGGAGAAGGGTGGCCGGTTAGCTCAGTTGGTTATAGCTCAGTTGGTTAGAGCGCAGCGCTCATAACACCAAGGTTGCCGGTTAGATCCCCACATGGGCAACTAAGTTGCGCCCTCCACAACTAGATTGAAAACAACTACTTGACTTGGAGCTGATGGGTCCTGGAAAAACACACTGTTCACCAATAAAATAAAATAAAATAAAATAAAAAAAGCCAGTGGGGGTAGACGTTTGTCAGGCTCAGGGCCTGAAAGGAGGCCATTGTGGCTGGAGTGTTGGCAGGGCTGGGTCCTGCAGGGCCTCAGGCATTTGGATTTTATTCCCTGCACCGTGGGCCCTGATCTTAGGCAGAGGACGGGAAATGTTCTCTTTGCTTTTGAAAAGACCACTCTGGCTGTGGAGAGAAGGTTGGTGCAGCTAAGAATGGACAGGGGTACCCCAGAGGAAGACATTTAAGTCAGGTGTGAGGTGATAGTCCTGAGAGGGGAGGGAGCATTGAGACAGTGGGTGAGAACGAGAGATTGGTTGGTTGGGTGCCACACAGAAGGGGAATTGGGTTTGGAGACGGAGATAATGGCTCAGGGGCAGCCAGAGGGCATTGCCAGGAAGTGACCAACCTGGGTTTAGAGCCAGGAGAGAAGTGGTGGCTAGAGACAGAACCCAAGACATACTGTGGCTATGAAAGCTGTTGGCATCGGTGAGATTGCCCTAGGTGAGAAACAAGACAGGGCAAGGGTAGAAAATTGGGTCACATGTTTCAGGGAGCTGGAAATAAGTCACCTAATGAGAGGAACCCATTGGGCTCCGTAAAAACAGAAGTTTTTGTGGTTTTGATCATTGTTGTATCTACCATGCCTGCAGCAGTCTAACATAGAGGGGTGGGTTGTTATGAGGATTAAATGAGTTAACCCGTAGTGTTTAGAACATGGCCTGGTATGTGGTTAGTGCTGAGTTATGGTTGAATTATTGTAATATTTATGCATATCAGGCGACTTTGGTCTGGACTCCTGCTCTTTGCTCACTTCATTTGGCCCTTCGCACAAGTCATTTAGCCTGTCGGGGCCTTGGTTTCCACATATGTAAAATGGGTATGGTCATTGATTCATTCATCAGGTTTTTTTAAATCAAGTGTTAGGTATGCGATTCAGCCATGAACAAGACAAAGATCCCTACCCTGGTGGGGCTCACATTTTTTGTGGGCAGACAGACAGTGAACAAAAGAAATAAAGCAGCTAGTATCTCAGCTAGTGCTGAGTTCTGTGGATATAATTGAAGGAGAGAAGGGGGGGTGGAGAGGGCCACTAAGGGAGGTGCAGTTGTAGACAGGATGGTGAGGCAGTCAGGGAGCCCTGAGGACAGCTGGGAGAAGAGCATTAGGGCAGAGGAGCAGCCAGTGCAGCGGCCCTGAGCTGAGAGCATGCCTGGTGTTTCCAGTGAGCATTGGCTGAGCCGAATGACTGAGGGGGAGCGTGAAGAGGGATATGGACAGAGACCTGGTTTGTAAAAGGCTTAGCACAGGATTCTATGCACGGCAGGCCCCCATACATAGTAGTTATCAATATTATCATCATATCATTATTTGGATGGATGAATGGCACTTGACGGGCAGGCCCATCTGACATCAGAACCAGTGCCCCACTGCAGCAAGGCGGGAGGGAGCACGCCTGCAGAATGAATGAGGCTCCCACCCTTCTCTCCCTGCAGCCTCGAAGCGGAGGATCCCTGCGTCCCAGCCAGGCATGGCTGACCCCCACCAGCTTTTCGATGACACAAGTTCAGCCCAGAGCAGGGGCTATGGGGCCCAGCGGGGGCCCAGTGGCCTGGGCTACCCTACAGCCTCAGCCTCGCCCCAGGAAGCCTTCCTGTCTGATCCTGTGTCCAACATGGCCATGGCCTACGGGAGCAGCCTGGCGGCACAGGGCAAGGAACTGGTGGATAAGAATGTGAGTGGGCTAGGCTGGTGGGCGTGGGAGGAAGTCCAAGGCCATGGGCCCAGGGCTTCAGGTAGAGCTCTGCCTCCCCAGATCGACCGCTTTATCCCTGTCACCAAGCTCAAGTATTACTTCGCTGTGGACACCCTGTACGTGGGCAAAAAGCTGGGCCTGCTCTTCTTCCCATACCTGCACCAGGTCAGCTCCGCCCACTGAGGTGGCTGTTGTCTGAGGAGGGAAACGGCCTCTGGGCTGCGGGGTGGAGGGTGAATCAGGCTGGGGCAAGCCTGAGGGACAGGGTGGCTGATTTGCCCCAAACGAGGGCCTGTAAGCAGGGTGGGAGGAGCCCAGTTCTGGGGGTCCTGCCTGCTCCCCCAACTATCCCCACAGGACTGGGAGGTACAGTACCAGCAGGACACACCAGTGGCCCCCCGCTTTGATGTCAACGCTCCTGACCTCTACATTCCAGGTTTCACCCTACCCACTGCTGGGGGCCCCCCCGCATCCTCTTCCCTCTGGGTGGGCACATCTGGGCAGAGGTTTTAGGTGCCCAGAGCCCCAAGATGGTCCTTCCCCTGACCCGTGTCTGTGTGTCTGCCTCCCACAGCTATGGCTTTTATCACCTACATCTTGGTGGCTGGCCTGGCCCTGGGGACCCAGGATAGGTAAGAGAGGCCTGGGGTGGGCAGTGGTGTGGGGTTTGGGGAGCCGAGGGGCAGTTGGGAGAGGGTCCCCCTCTCAGAACAGCCCCACCATGCTCCCAGTTGGCCCAAGAAAGAGCCCTTGGTGTCCCACTTAGGGTCACACTTGCCTCTTCCCTCTGTCCCACCCACCACACCCTGTGCTGGGTGACTTTCTAAATCTGTCCTTCCCCTTGGCCCCCACTACCAGATCCAGCCTCATCCTCTCCCTCTCTTACCCCGCTGCCACATCCCCACACCCCTCCTGCACCCCAACTCTAGCAGCAGCCAGGAAGATCTTGTCTGAGAGGCGGGCCTGGCCATGTCACAGCCTGCTTAGCTGTCCATAGCTCCCGTCCCCAGACCAAGCCCCAGCTCCTTATCCTGGCACTGCCCTCCATGAGGCCTTTTTCTGCCCCCCCTTACTCTGTTATGCTACTCTGGTCCGCCCCCCATCCTCCAGAGAGTCTCGTGCTGCCATCCCAGGGCCTTTGCACATACAGTTCCCTTTGCTCAGGAGTAGGTTCCTCCCCTACATGATTGCCTGCTGAGCACCTGCTCATTCAAGATGTCTCCACTCTGCTGTCACGTCCTCAGGGAAGCCTTCCCAGCCACCCCCGCTCCCCTCAGGCGGGGTCAAGCCCCCACCTCTTACTCATAGGCCCTTGTCATTCCCTTTGTGGTATTAAAATCAATTGTCATTCAAATAAATTAACTGTTGAGGCACTGAGGATGTGGCAGAGACTGAGGTCCTTCTTTCTCAACCAGCTCCTTACTCCTTTAGGCCTCAGTGCAGGTGTCCCCTCCTCTGGGAAGCCCTATCTGACACCCCTCCCAGCTGGATCAGGCACCTCCCCTGCCCTGAGCTTCCCCCATGCCAACCCTGACCCCTCCAGGCTGTCACTGAGGATAGGTCTGCCTTTCCTGGAATGAGACTTCCATGAGGACAGGACCCAGAACCACATCTTGGTCACTGTTGGGTCTCCAGCCCCACCCAACACAAGTTGTCCCCAAATGGATACTCAGGGAGGGTATGAGCCGTCCAATGGAGTGACAGAGCTTGGGTGCCCGCAGGTTCTCCCCAGACCTCCTGGGGTTACAGGCCAGCTCGGCATTGGCCTGGCTGACACTGGAAGTGCTGGCCATCCTGCTCAGCCTCTACCTGCTCACTGTCAACACCGACCTCACCACTATCGACCTGGTGGCCTTCTTGGGCTACAAATATGTTGGGTGAGTACCCTCATCGTCCCCCTACCAGCCCTAGCCCTGGGCCTCTTCCTCAGACTAGCCTTCCCCTCTCCCCCCCACCCAGGATGATTGGCGGGGTCCTCATGGGCCTGCTCTTTGGGAAGATTGGCTACTACCTGGTACTGGGCTGGTGCTGCATATCCATCTTTGTGTTCATGGTGAGCTGGGGCTGGGGGGAGGGGGGGAGGCTGAGGGCACAGGCCTCCTGGGCATACTTAGGGTCCCCTTGGAGACACCCAAGCAGAGGGTGTCAGATGGGGACTTTAGACCATTGCTACATTGCTGATCTGAGGAGCCCTGGAGTGGCTGCCCCAGCCTGGGGGTCAGGAGGGCTTCCTGGAAGAGGGGGTATCCAAGCTGTGGTCTGAAGGAAGAGGGGAGCCAGCCAGACTGCTAGGGTGGGCTGTCACCCTCACCCCAGTCTCCTTACATGGTGGGCTATCCTGCCAGAATTTCTGCTAAGATAAAAAAAAGTTTCACAACACCTCAAGTAACTTGTTTGAGGGTCCTTCCAGCTGGCGAGGAGGTGCTGGCTAAGAGCACTGGGGTCCACCAGGCCTGGGTTTGACCCCAAGCTTTGCTGGATGCTGGGCAGATCACTTCCTCTTTTTCAACCTCAGTTTCCCCTTTTGTAAAATGGTGGTGATCATTGCATCTCAGGGGACGGGGAGGACAGAGTGTGAGCATGTGTGAGGAGCAGAGGGACAAACTGGTGGCTGGTGGGCCACAGCTGACTCTCAGATAAACTTTGCCTTAGATGTCATTATTTTCAAGTTAAAAAAAAAAAAAGCATTCTGGCTTGTGTTAAAAAATTGTCATGTGGCCAATATAAGCAGGTGACGGCAGCCAGGGCGGAGCCCGGCCACCCGCTTCAGGCAGGGTAATCGCAGTGCAGTTCCCCAGCACACTCACTTAGGGGACAGGCCTGGGTTTGAACCCTCGCTTTCCGCACAAGGCCTGGGGGAGGAGCATCACCCTCTGTTAGATCTGGGGCGCCCGGAGCAGAGACTTTAATGCAGCTGGCCCAGTGAAGGGAGGGAGAAAGTAGAGGCTGCAGAGGGTCAGGGAGTAGAAGGGTCCAGGCGCCCTACCAGGCTGAGAGGGCTCAAGGGTAACCCTTCCTCATCCAAGATCCGGACGCTGCGGCTGAAGATTCTGGCGGAGGCCGCGGCGGAGGGAGTTCCGGTGCGCGGGGCTCGGAACCAGCTGCGCATGTACCTGACGATGGCCGTGGCCGCGGCGCAGCCTCTGCTCATGTACTGGCTCACCTTCCACCTAGTGCGGTGAGGCGGCCGGCCGCGCCTCCAGCTGCTGCTGCTGCTGCTGGCTGCCGCCACTGCCGCCACTGCCGCCGCTCATCTCCATGGACTGCCCGCCCCCCAGCCCGAGACCCTCCTCTCCTCCCCCCTCAGGTGCTGAGATCCCCAGCGGCACAGGCCGCCCCCCTGGCAGGCGGCCACTGTTCCGGAAATAATAAACCACTGTGGTAGGCTCAGCATGAATGGCCTCTCTTTGGTGGCTACCAGGCTGCCCGGCAGGGGGCAGGCCCGGCCCAGAAGCGGCGGGGAGGTTGGGGACAGTTCGCAGCGCCTACTACCTGGAGGCCATCAGAAGGCTGAGAGGAGGTTTAATGAGCCAAGCCCAGTCCTGTCAGTGGGAAGCCTTCTTCTTCACCTCTTTTTTCACCTTGGGCTTTTTGACCTTTTTCGGGGTGCTTCCTTGCGTCCCTGAGCCTGCATAGGGGGGCTGTGGGGGTGGGAGAGGAGAGAGGGTTCCTTGGTGAATGGTTGCCCAGGTTCTGGGCTGGGCCTCTGGCTTGGCCTGGGGCACGGGCACCCACTTGGGAGGGGAAAGCTGCTTACCTTCGCCTCCACGTCAGAGCTGCTGGAGCTGCTGCTGCTGTCAGAGTCCGAGGAGCTGCCATGGCTGTGGCCGTGCTAGTTGAAAACGCGACAGTGAGGCTGAGGGCTCCCCAAGTTGGAAGCCTGGACTCAAGGCTCAGCAGGACTCTGGGGTCAAAGTCCCCCCCCATTCCACCTCCCATAGGATGTGCCCAGTCTTGAGGTGATTTATCCTCCGGTTAGCTGCCTCTGTGCCTGGGGTCACTCACCTGGCCTGCCCCCTTGGGCTTCTTGGAGGTGGACTCCAGGGCTGCGGAGAGAAGTTGGGTGGATTGGCGCAGGAAATGTCCCCTGTACTTTAAGTTCAGTGCTGCCACAGGCGAACCCGCTGTTGGCTCAAAACTTTATAGTGGGGAGAGAAGGTGTGTCAGGAGGGCTGGGGAGGGGCAGTGGGACCTGCCCTCCCAAGGAATGCTGGGAGCCCCACCTGACCTTTGTTCAATCCTTAGCCCCTCCCCAGCACCACCAAGCCTTTCCTCTGGGCTATGGGGAGGGTGGACAGTTAACTGCAAAAGAAAAACACCTGCCTGTGCCAGCCTTGGCAAGTGAGCAGGAGCTGTGTGGATGGGGTTGGGGTTGGCAGATGCAGATATCTGAGGAGCAGAGCTGTCATCAGCTTCCCCCAAAAGGGTCAGATGCCTGCTTTTGACGAAATGAAGGAAGTGGCTCCCTGTGACCTGTGTGCCATGAGAACACTATCAGCCCCTGTGTGCCAGGCACTGTTCCAAGGGCAACTCTAACAACCCCTCTGTGGCTTGGTGAGAAACAGCCTGAAGGCGTGAAGAGCGTGAACTTGGGACCAGCTTGCCGAATTTGAAGCCCATCTGTACCACTTAGTAGCGGGGTGTTACAGGAAAAGTTGCTTTGCCTCCCTGTGCCTCAGCTTCCTCATTTGTAAATGATAGCTACCATGTGGTGTCAATGTAAGAACCAAGTGGATTAGTTTCCTAGAACTGTGCCTGACACACTAAGTGCTTATGAAATAATGTTTTGGCTTTTTTAAAATAAAAAGTAGGTATTACCACTACCTCTGTTTTACAAGTGAGAAGACAGAGGGATCAAACAGTTAAGACGATGAGGGGAAATGCAACAATGAACAGACTAGAACTGGAGCTCACACTCCAGTATGGCTCAAGTCCCAGACTCTGCCTGGTCACCACTCACCCTGGAAGGCGCTCAGTAGAAGGGCAGTCAGCAGAGCCCAGCCTTCCCTCATCACCCTGAGATGGGAATGGCTACACCTTTTCTCTGCGTACTATTGGCTTGGAGTATCATCGTCTACCCTTTCACTTAGAGTCTGTGTTTACGTTTGGAGCTAATATGGGTCTCCTGAAAGCATATAGTTGACTGTTGTTTCTTTTTAAAGATTTTATTAGGGAGTTGGGGGAGGGGAACAGACAAGTTGCTGTCTTTTTGTTCTTCAGTCTAGTTGAGGATGTCGCTTCACTGGCCCATGTTGTTATTATCATTGCGCTCTTCCTGGGTGAGGCAGTTGCTCGCCGGCCATTGGACGGCCACTCACGGCGGCTCACGGAAGCTCATGCCAGCTGCCAGCCACTCACGGTAGCTCATGGCAGCCCACTGCAGCAGGGGCTGCAGCTTATGCTGTCGCCGGCGACTCTCGGCAGCCCAGCTCCAAGTCGAGCTGTTGTTCACCATCTTAGCTGTAGAGGGCGCAGCATCACGCTCTCATGTCGTAGCCGAACGGGGGCCCTGCTGCTCAGAGCTGACACCCCAAGCCAACTTTTTTTTTTTTAATTTAGATTTTATTGGGGAATTGGGGGAGGGGAACAGTGCTGGGGAATCGGGGGAAGGGGAACAGACAAGTTCCTGTTGCTTTGTTCTTCAGTCTAGTTGTGCCAAGCCAACTCTTAACCAACGTGCCACTCGACTGGCCCAAGATCATGTGCTCCTAACAACAAGGTTGCCGGGCCCACCTGCAACTAAGATTGAACATGGCACCTTGAGCTGAGCTGCCCTGAGCTGCCATTGGGTGGCTAGATGGCTCAGTGGTTAGAGCATGTGCTCTTAGCAACAAGGTTTCTGGTTCGACTCACACATGGGATGGTGGGCTACACCCACCCGCAACTAAGATTGAACACAGCACCTTGAGCTGAGCCGGCACGAGCTGCCGACAGGCAGCTGGATGGTGACTGGACTTGGGAGCTGAGTAGCTACGCCCTCCACAACTAAGGCTGAAGGACAAAAACTTGGCTGTTCCCCTTCCCCAACTTCCCAACACTGTTCCCTTTCCACAATTCCTCAATAAAAAATCTTAAAAAAAAAATTTAGGAAGAAATTCCTGGATGCCAACTTTAGTGGCCAGGGAAGCCAAGATGGTGTAGGGAGCCAGTCATCCACCAGGGTCCTGCACTCCTCCACGTCTGAGAACCGACATAGCTCATTGGAAAAGCAACTGCTTCAAGGCCTGGCCTAGTCTCTTTCCTGAAGTTTACATGAGCAGAATGCCCTGGTCCTATAAACACCATAATCTCTGTTGTAGACTGTTTCCTTTTAACTTAACCACATCCTAGGAGATGGATGACCATAAACACGCAGTCTGCAGGGACTCGGTTTCATTTCCCACAAGACAGAAGAGTTGCATCAGCTCTGGATATTCTGGAATACAACAATCAGAAAATCTTGACGGACCATCCTTTGGGAGGTGCCAAGGGGCTGATAGCCCAGCTAGGGAAACCCAAGCTTGACCTCCACCTAGCTGACCATTGTGATTTGATTTTGCTGTTTGCCAGCTAGTAAGTTAGCCTGTAACCATTTCCAAAATGCTGGCAGAAGCCTTGAGACCACTGGGTCAGAGACAAAAAGCTTTATTATTCACAGCAAGTAGCATAATAAGCATTGGCATCTATGTTTGTTTCTCTTGCCCCATGGGGGCAAAGCGGAGGGTCCCAATGAGCCCTGCATATGCAGTGTGTTGCTTTATAAGAGTGGGACACTGAGCTTGGAGACCTGTCACTTTATAACAGGCACTAGGCAAGCACGCTCTTTGTCTAAAGGGAACCATTTCCTTATCCTTCAATGAGTTTGCTGCAAACCCAAGCCTGAGAAATGGTCCAGGTATACTGCTGTCAGGCCATGCGTTCTTGGCATATCCAGAAGGACCTGTAGCACCATGAGATCTCCCCACAGAGTACTGTCTCTGCCAACTATCCACCCCTCCTGGCTTCTGACAAATTTTCACATGAGTATGCCACACTGTCGGCCACTGGTTAACAGGGGCTGGGACCATAAGTGTTCAGTTTGTCTTCTACAGCATTTGATTAAGGCTACGATGAACAGAACTCAAGCAGGGTTCTTTTGCTCTGAGGCCAACCTACTGTCCGGGGTCCTGGACTCGTCCAGCCGTGAATGAGCAGGGCTTATCTCAGATAGCCAGGATGTAGTCTAAGGCTAGTCTGTCATCCATTAGGACCCACATGGGGAGGTCAGGCTGACTTGCTGATCTTCAATGTCATTGCCAATAATCACAAGGCTTGAAAGCAGCCCTTATGCCCCATGGAGAGACATTCTGACTCATTTTCCCCACACACACACACAAAAACAGACTGCTAGGGCACAGGGCACTCCAGTTCGGAATTTGTTGTCAAACTTGATTTGGAACACCACTGCACTGGTTTGGCTAAACCACATGGGTAGTGCCACTGAGTAGCACCATACATGGTACCACCCAGGGCTGCTCGGGCGTCAGTGTGTGATTTTGTTATCAGCTAGATTAGGACAAGGCTGTGCAGGTCCATGTGTTTGTAAACATCTAGGGGTGGGGTCCACATTCAGAAGCTGCTACTGATGGCATTGAGCACAGCAGAATGGGTCAGGATGGGCCATGTCTACTGGTCACATTGCCAGCTGCAGGGCTCAGGTGGACCAGGGGCTTGTTTGGCCAGGACGTGGAGGTGTTGGATCTAGAACAGGGGTCGGCAAACTTTTCAGACGAAAGAGCCGCCAGGGTTCATCAAACTGCGGCTCGCGAACTGTGGCTCTGAAGTAAAATTGAAAATGAAAATAAAACTATCACAGTTTCATTTATAAAATTGTTAGATGATATTATTCACATAATGGTGATTATGTAAAAATATATTTATGGCTCTCGAATAATTTTTAAATTGTTGTAAGAGACAGGATTGGCTCTTCCAGGAGTCAGCACTTTTGAGACAGAAGTACCCAAAGAGCTGCATGTGGCTCGTGAGCTGCAGTTTGCCGACCCCTAGAGGACAGAGAGCTGATTGCATCCCCTTCTCGTCCCCGGACCTCCTGGAGTCTAAGGTGTTCCCTCCACAGGTACCGGGTTAACTCCCTGTGAGAACACGAAAGCGGTGTGTATCCCATCCCAGTAAGTATAGCTTCAGCACTTCTATCAACAGTGCTGATAGAAGTTGATAGAGAATTCACACCCAGACCTTTTGTTTTGGTTAGATATGAGTGGAACAAGCATTTTTACAAATTTCCAAGGACCATGTGGGCCACCGTAGAAAAACTTGGCTAGCAGGGCACTCAGTGACCAAGTGGTCATTGTCTTCATGACCTAGGACCAGTCAATCCAAGAAAGAATCCAGGGGGCTGAACCAGAACACTTCAATCCAAGGCCTCTTCTGCTTGGCCTGCCCATGAAGGGTGCACCAATCAGGTGGGCCAGGGCTTGATGTTAAGGACAAGGCACACCCAGGAATGATGTGGGTGCAATCCTGAACCCCTTTGACCTGATCTTTACCCAGATGGCTTAGAGAGAAACCCTTTCTGGAGACAACCACTTTCAGTGACCAAGCTGCCTTCCTCAAGTGTGTAGACCAGGAGGAAGTAAGAGATTTATGAGTTGATTTTTTAAAGTCCATTCCAGGACCAGCAGAGTGGCGCATTGGTTAAGAGTTGGCTTGAGACGCCAGCTCTGAGAAGCAGGGCCCTGGTTTGGATCCCACATTAGGGCCAGTGACGCTGAACCCTCTATAGCTAAGATGGTGAAAAACAGCTCGACCTGGAGCTGGGCTGCCGTGAGTCCCCGGTGACAGGGCGTAGGCTGCAGTGAAGCTGCAGTGGGCTTGCCATAAGCTACCGTGAGTGGCTGGCAGCCAACGTGAGCTGCCAAGAGCCACCGTGAGCAGCTGTCCAGTGGCCGGCGATCAATCTGCCTCATCTGGGAAGAGCACAATGATAATACCAACATGGGCCAGTGTAATGACGTCCTCCACAACTAGACTGAAGAACAAAAGGACAGCAATTTGTCTGTTCCCCTTCCCCAATTCCCCAACGCTGTTCCCCTTCCCCAATACCCCAGTAAAATCTTAAAAAAAAAAGTTCATTCCATTTCTCCCTCTTCTTTTTTAAACTTTATTGGGGAACAGTGTGATTTTTCCAGGACCCATCAGCTCCAAGTCAAGTCGCTGTCCTTCAATATAGTTGTGGAGGGCACAGCTCAGCTCCAAGTCCAGTTACTGTTTTCAATCTAGTTGTGGGGGATGCAGCCCACCATCCCATGTGTGAATCGAACCCGCAACCCTGTTACTCAAGAGCACACTCTCTAACCAACTGAGCCACCTGGCTGCCCACATTCCACTTTTTTTTTTTAAAGATTTTATTGGGGAATTGGGGAAGGGGATCAGTGTTGGAGAATTGGGGGAGGGCAACAGCCAAGCTGTTGTCCTTCAATCTTAGTTGTGGAGGGCGCAGCTAATTCAGCTTCAAGTCCAGTCACCATCTAGCCGCCTGGCGGAAGCTCGCGGCCGCTCAGCTCAAGGTGCTGTGTTCAATCTTAGTTGCGGGCGGGCATAGCCCACCATCCCATGCGGGAGTCGAACCGGCACCCTTGTTGCTAAGAGTGCATGGTCTAACCACTGAGCCATCCAGCCACCTGTCACCCCTCAGCAGCTCATCGCAGCTCAGCTCAAGGTGCCGTGTTCAATCTTAGTTGTGGGCAGGAGTAGCCCACCATCCCATGTGGGAGTTGAACCGGCAACCTTGTTATTAGGAGCACATGTTCTCACCAGCTGAGCCATCCTGCCACCTGTTGGCAGCTCAGAGGCAGCTTAGCTCGGGTGCAGCTCACTGGCCCATGTGGGAATCAAACTGGCAACTCTGTTGCTCAGAGCTTGCACTGTTAACCAACTGAGCCACTCAGCCAGCTGTTCCCCCATTCCACTTCTTAATGATGCCAGACAAAGGCCGTGAAATGTCCATTGAATACCTTGGCCATTGTTGGGCAGCCTTTGCAACAAAAAGAGCACCATTGTCAGTCTGTAAATGGTCCAGAAAGTTGAAATCATGGCAATGTTGAGTTTCTGGGGCCACAGTGGCATGGCAGAAGTTGTCTGACCATAACCTATGAAAGCAAGGTAGTGATACCACTGGCAGAGCAAGAGGGGCCCAAAGGTTCAATGGCATCAATCTGTGAGAGCAAGTGGGCCCATGAGGCCTCCCTCACCATGAGACAAACGTGACACATCTTGGCAGAAGTGTCACAGAGTGAGAATTCAGCGTCAGAAACATAAAGTTACACTTTGAAAAACCTTCAAAAGCTCAATTGTCTTGATGGTGTTAAGAGAATTCACTTGATCTTCCTACTGCAGAATTATTAAAGTGATTCTCAACAGTTTATTTAAAAACCCCAACATACAACTCTTTTCTATCATATGACTAAGCTATGAAGGAAACAACTCTTGTTGGAGTAGATGGAGGAAGGCCTTCGCTAGGCCAGAGGCATTGGTGAGTTTGAGATTCCTGAAGATGAAGGGAGACGTGAGTGGATGTGAGTTGCTTATGGTAGCAGGGTGGGTATAAGGGAGAGCTACCAACTACTAAGGAGGAACAAGGAGGCAGGTACATGGGCAGAGGCGGAAACTAGCCCCTGGAAGGAGGCTCCCTTGCTGAGCACGTCCCATGGGCGACCTGACACCTATGATCTCACATAACCCTCACCTCCACCCATCTTACAGGTGAGGAAAAGGTAGGTTCAAAGGAGTTAAGTGACCTACCGACTGTTGCACACCCGGAGTAGTGGGCAGTATCCCTTCTCAATGCCTTGGCCCTCTTTCCCTGGATCACAGGGAATCCTGCTCACCAACTCTGAATCAACTGCAGTGACTGGAAGGCTTGGCAGGGAAAATGCCAGAATCCACAAGCAATGCCTACCATGGACGAGGGAGGCAGGGAAGGAACAGATGAGGTGTTTGCCAACTGGTTTCTGGAATAGGTTTCTAAGCCCTAATGGATACACAAGTCTTTCCTCCAAAGTATGTAGAATGTGGCCTTTTTGGCCTGAGGGACTTCTAGGAAGGAGAGTTTATGGTCTTATTGTTCCAAGGGGAGGCCAAAGCAACACCTGGGACTGTCAGGTTGCTCAGGGTCCACAGGCTGGCCCAGCACTTCCGCCCACTCCTGGGCCAGGGCCCAGCATCCTGAGTCACCCAGAGGCATGTGGAGACACGGTTCCATGACTTGACAACTGCAAGGCCCTGGAGCTAGAACATCCCGAGGCTGGTTGACACCTCCCCTTTACCCCCACGGAGTGCTGCTTCCTGCCAGGCACACTTAAGGCATTTTCCTTTATCTGAGACAAGTCATGCCCTAGTACCCGCTACCCATCTTGCCCTGTCCTATATAATTCTTTAGCGCCTGCCACTCACGCAGCAGGGAAGATATCCTTGCCATCAGGCCGCCCAAGGCGGGCCTCAGGTTCCCTTAATAAACTCTTGATGTAATAATGATGGAGCTGTCTGCCTTTTTCTTTGGTCTCTCAGCCCTGGGAAATGTTACATTTACACTGTGGGTTGCTCAGATGCTGCTGTTTAGGACTAAATGTTTGGAAGATGGAGGAGAGGGGAAGAGGTTCCAGAGTTAAGACCGGAAGGGAACACCCATAGGTAGGCAGCAGAATTGCAACTAAGCTTGGAAGCTGAATTCATTAGGGTAGTGCCCTGTCCTTACTTTAATGCAGGGGCACGTGGGAGACCTGAGGAAGGCTGCAGAACTGCAGAAAAAGATGAAAATCATGATGCCCAAGTGACTTCGGTCAGAACCACCCCAATTTGGGGAAGGTCTTGGTCTTCCCCTGGACAGGATGCATCCTTATTCTAACCCTCCTCTGCCTTCAAAGCACTATTTCAAAGTGTGGGTTACAGTCCATAGTGGGTCATTAAAAAAAAAAAATTTTTTTTTCAATCCAGTGGAGTTTAGCCAAAATGTTTTAAAAGGGAAATAGAAAATACCAGAGCTCAGCACACGAGGTAAGGCTAAGTGTTGTTTGGTGAAGCTGTGTGCCCACTCAGTTGTGAGATGTAAAATCATTCAAAAAGATCTGAAAGATGCTCTTTTTTAAGGAGTTCATTTCTAGAATATAGTGTCCAGTGATAATTTTGGTCGAGTTTAAATTAGCAGTCCCATAAAGAAAGCACATACTGAAATTTATTTTAAAAGAGAAGATTCTTTTTATTAAACTTGTACATTTTACTCTCTTCCTTTCAGAATCCTAATAAAAAAAACTTTTGTTTCTGCTTACTTAAAAAAACCCCCACAAATCAAACAAACAAAGGAAACTATTAAAACATCACTTTTGTGATGGGAAAGAATTCAACATAAGCAAAGAAAACTATACCTGGAGCAAAGGTAGAAATCAAAGAGGAACTGACTCTGGTCTGGGGCCAGGCCATCTGAGCGTGAACGTGACCCCTTCTTTGAGGATTCTCAAATCCTCCGCAGGGAGACCAGGAAGCAGCCCTCTTAACTTCTGGAGTAACAAACAGACCCAAAGCCCTAATGATCACACAAATACAAATCAATCACTCTATTTTAAAAAGTACACATGCATTCTACAGTTGTCTCCCCAGGTTCTGTTCATCAACAGGGGGGTCCTGACTCCTGACGAGGGGCAGCCTCTTGGCGACAGGGCGTTCACAGCAGGTATGTGTTCTTCACCAGGTGCTCCTTGTCGTCTCCAGAGCTCCAGACCGTTTGGAGGGCACGCTCTTGGTTTCTCCGCGCCATCCTGGTCAGGCAGACCACGGAGGCTCCAAGCAAGAGGACCAGAACCATCACGAACAGCCCCGCCAGGACCACCACTGGGGATGAGAGAGCGGCCTCAGAAACAGTGGCATAAGGATGGGCCACAGGCAGAGTGGGTCCCCCCACGGGGCTCAGGTCGAGGACCAGCAGCCCTTGTGCCCGACGTCCCACCACCCAACCTGGGAGGCTCTGGAGAACTGACACCGCCCACCAGAGAAGTCATCCAGGAGAGTCCCTACAGTCCTGAAAAAAGGAGGCACAGTTCTATGTATACACAAACAGAGTGACCATTTGTGTTCCTTTTTTTGGAACTAACATCCCCACTCAACTCTGTAATTAATTTCCCTCCCCCTCTCAGGGGCAGCCTGTACAGGAGTCCCAAACCAAAATATGCACTCTGGCATGTAAAAAGCACACACCTCTGGTGTGTGTGTAAACATAAAACCCCGCCACTAGCCACAGAGAAAGATGTGGCCCTGCAGATGACTGGTGTGGCTGCCTGTGGAGTGAGGTAAGGGTGGTGGCTAGAGTGTATTCAGAGCAGTGCCAGGAGGGGTCCTCAAACTCCTAATGGCCCTGATAAATTTAACAGTGGTCGCCCTACTGGCCATCAAAGATGTTTTTTTCTTCTAGGTGGGGCTCAACCTAAGGAAAGTGGTTCCTGTGGCAGCTACCTGGCTCCCTCTCCATCTCTACCCCACCAACACCTGCTTTCAGCCCAGGCCCGGCAAACCAGTTCCGGCTTCACTCCTCTTCTAAAATAGAGCAGACAGGCGAGGTCTGGGCTCCTTAACAGGGAAAACAGGTGGAAAGAGGCCAAACCAGTGTGGCAGGTCCTTTGTGCAAACACTATCCTCTGTGGCTCAGGCTCAGAAACAAAAGCGAGAGGAGGTACAGTCTCCTTGTCAGATCCACTGCTTGGGGACAATAGCACTGGCTGTGCCTTGCTCAGGCTGTACATGGCAAGGGCTCTAGAATTCCTTCCTGTCACCTAATAACCAACTCTGTCCACCCCATTGAGCAAAGTTCCCCCCAAACCTGGAGTCAGACTCAAGCCTGCGTGCGGCAGATCCCCGTACGCCTAACATCAGGACTCACCCTGCAGTCACCCCCGGCTGCCGGGCGGACACTGCCTCCCTCCCAGCCCTTGCTGTGTACACTGCTCGGTGGGACAAACATCTACTACACGTTCCAAGATGCTTGGCCATTCTGGTGAAGAAACATGACTTTCTACCAAAAAGCTGTTAGTGGTGAAGGATGATGTGTTTAAGACAACAGGAGCCTGCGAAGACACAGCTGAGCTCAGTCAGGCAGGCAAGAGGTGGAGAGGGCAGGAGGCTACTTACCATGAGTGCTGAGGGGCAGGACAGGATACAACTGCTTGCCTGGAAGAGAACAGATGGCCCTGAGGTCAGCTCACAGTTGTCCCCCCCAGAGCTGTCACCACCCGAGGGTCCCCCTCACCCCTGGGCCTTCACAGGGGGCTCTTTCTGAGGTACTTTTTCTTCCAGGTATTCTGAGGGCTTTTGAGGCCTCGTCACCATGGTGGGGACTTAGGACACGTCTGCTCAACAGCCGGGGCCAACACCCACCTGTTCCCCACTAGAGAGCCAGAGAAGGGTGGCATCTAAGTGACAGCATTTCCCAGGCCTCACTTTTGGGGATGGGGCATGGTCTCGGGGAGGGGCTGTCCATGCACCGTTATTTCTTGGACCCAGGGCTCAGGCAGACTCACCAAAGCAGCGGCTCATGCACTCCTCCTTGGAGAGGTAGTTGTTCTTATTGCCCCAACACCCTCCGTAGATGAAGTTATCACAGGAGTTCTTCTCGGCATCGAAGTGCCAGCGAGAGAAGTATGCGCGGCAAGGCCCAGTGACGGCCTTGGCGGTGCAGTATTCTGGGAGCGGGAGGGCCCAAGGAGCAAAAATGAGCAGGGCCCAGAGGAAGCGAGTCGGAGCGGCAACGCTCCCAAGCAGTCACACAGCTGTTGGCTGACGGAGAACCGCCTCTCTGCTAAAGAAACTAGTAACCACAGATGTGGCCCGCCTGGCCCCTTTGACACCCTCCCTCCACATTTTCAGTATCTTTCTTTTTACAGCCAGACTATGTTGTTATGGAGATTCCTCTATGCCAGGTGCTGTTCTAGGCATTTTCCATGTATTAACTCGGTCTCTAAGCGACCTGCCCTAGGCCCCTCATTTCATACTCAAGGACTCCAAGGCAAGCTGTGCACGTCCTAATGCCCTGGGGCCTCCTCGTGTGGTCTACTACCTGGGAAAGGCCAGTAAGCCACACTACAATTTCCTCAGTGGAAATCCTCAAGCGTGTCTCAATTCCCAGCTAAGTAAGAAAACACGTTTGCATATATATGTATGTACACACACACACACACACACACACACACACACACACACACACACACACACACACTTCTACCTTTGACCATCTAAAATAAAAAATGAATTGAAGAAAAAGTCATACCTTCGTAGTTGAAAATATCGCTGGAGGAGTCATCAAAATCCTGCCTTCTGGGAACTAAAACACAAACATTCATGTCAAGGAGGCTGCAATGGATACAGATAGGACATAGGTCTGGCTGGGGCTGAGTCTAAAAGGGCCCACTGAGGGAATGTGGACTCTCTGGCACCTAGAGGGAGCCCCCTCTGTGGGCCACTTTGCTCCATAACTCCATAACCTCCCAGTCTTAATGGGTGCCACCAGCACATACAGAATGAATGCTGGATGGGGAGGCCTGCCTGCCACCCCATGGGTTGCTATGGAAACTAATCCCAGCCACAATTTCTGGGGTAAGGAGGAAGCTGGTCTTGTTTACTCTCTGACACAGCGAGGAGGCCCCTTGCTCTCCTGGGGAAACTTTCTTCTGAAACAAGATGGAAACCAAAGTCAACATGCCAGCGCCCCAGGGTTCTAGATGACCTTGGAGAGGCTGGCCTGGGAACAAACAGTGAACCCAGGCAAAGCAATGGCCAGGACAGTCACAGGATTCCTGGCCCAGCAAAATGGGAAAGTGACTCTAGACTAACTTTCAGCATTCTGCAAGTCAGCGAGAACTAATAAACACTCGCTCTCTTGAGCACTGGTGTCAGTCAGTGCTAGCCTGCTGGGCTGTCCTCGAATGGGGTGGGAGCGGATTCCCTCCCTCCCTGGCAGGTCTTGCCCAGCAGAACCCATCGCCTGGGACTGGCCTTCGGGAAAGCTGGGCTGGACTTGCTGGTGCATCTGTACCACTCACCCCGGGCTCCCGATGCAGAGTCCTTTAAGCATAAAGGAGGAATGGGGCAGCTGCTGTCAGCACTACAAAGCAAGCTAACACAGAGCTCAAGATCAAGCACTGCAGTGGAATGGAGGCAGGGTGGCAGACAAAGGACAGGATTCTTAGCACAGGAAGGGAGGTAGCAAGGACCACAGGGAGCAAAGGGGACAGAACAGGCAAGGAGAGGTGGGGTGGGCAGTGAGACAACAGAGATCAGCCCAGGGAGAAGGGCGGGCCTGAACCACATGGACGGGGACCACAGACCCCTGCCCCCCAGAGGAAGCTGAGGCCAGCCCAGAAGTACTGCAGAATCCCCCGGCCCTCTGGTCTGTGTAAGGATGCCGGCAAGGAGCCAGAAGCTGGCAGCCTGGGCAGAGCCCATTTGCCAATGCCGAGAAAACAGAGCCAGGAACTGGAAGCCCCTGTACAAATCCCGGATTACGAATGTCCTTTCAGCTACCCATCTGGATGGCCCTCATTCCACCCCAGGTCTTTTTAAGAACCTACCACTCGGGACAGAGGAACCGGCTCCATTCCTGCTGGTGGCGAGATCATCAATGGTGTTCTCTACAAGGGGACAAATAAAACAACATAGTGAGAAAGTGCACCTCCCTCCAAGACTGCCCAGTGAAACAAAACAAGCCGAGTCCCTGAGCAGTCGTGGCAACGTGTGCCTCTCACAATGACTCCCATTTCTCCTTACTGTGGACCCTGCAATGCACATGCTGGACCACAAGCCAGCCAGAACTTGGAAATAAGGAACCAAGATTCTCCTCGTGGGTTAAACTTTAAGGTCAGCTTGCTGGGAATCAGAACAAAGACATGTGAAATAAATGTAAAAAGACAATAAGGCGGGTGGGAGGGCAGTGGATGGGGGGTGGGGGGTTGTTACTTTGTGAGGGTGAAAAGGGTAACTATTGCATTGTTCTGTACACCTGAAACTAACAATAAATAAATTAATTAAAAAAAAAAAAAAAAAGACAATAAGGCTTCCTGGGCCAAAAAGCCTGTTTAACTGTATTAACCCATCTAATGAATTAAAAAGTTAAGGGTGGGGGTGGCCGGTTAGCTCAGTTGGTTAGAGCGCAGTGCTCATAACGCCAAGGGTGCCGGTTCAATTCCCACATGGGCCAAGGAGCTGCGCCCTCCACAACTAGATTGAAGGCAACTACTTGACTTGGAGCTGATGGGTCCTAGAAAAACACAGTTCCCCAATAAAATTTCTTAAAAAAAAAAAGTTAAGGGGTGCACAGCAGTACACTTTAAATGGTTAAAATAAATTTTATGTTATACATATTTTATATCTCTCTCTCCCTCTCTCACACACACAGTTAAGGGGGTGGGGTGGAAAGGCTAGTTGCTTAAGGAAGCACAAAAAAAGGAGCGCTGGCAGGGTCCAGGAGGGAGGGACCCTGGCTCCCTGCCTCCCTACTGGTCCCAGTGGACCTTCTGGAGAGGCGTGGGGCTGGACTGACCTGATGTCATTAAACATTCAGGTCACAAACCAGCTACCCCTGTTGTGCCTCTCTCCTCATCAAGCAATCTTCTGGGAATTTGGCCAACAGGTCTGCCTACGTGGACTAAAGGTGCAGGCACAGGGACCTGAGTGCCTGGTTCCCTGGGTGGTTCTGGTTCTCATTATAAATTAATAAACAGGCATTCTCATTATCATGTGGCTTCCAAAAGAGCTTGCCTGCCTGGGAGAGAATATGCTGGCAAAAGGCTCCAGTGACTAGCTGCTCTGGCAGTTTTAGCTCTCCTCACAGGCTCACGAGAGACGCCCCAAGAGATGGGCAGTGGAGCCATACTAGAGTGCCAAGAAAGAGCTTTCTGTGCCCTCAAGACTGGAGCCAGACTCTGAACTACCTCTAGGAGACAGCTGTCTGCCTTCTCCCAGCAGTTTTGGCTCCACCCCTGACCCCTTGTAGCAACATCTGTCCTAATGCCAGTGTCTACTGCTTGTGTTTCCTAAAACCGACTCTTCCTGAGAAAATAAGGAGTAACCAGAACGGGCAGGTATTATACATTTCCTATAGTCAACTCTTGGTTAGGAAAGGACCAAAGTTTGCAAAAATAGTTCCCCTTAATTCCTCCCCGCAAAACTGGGTCATAGTTGACAATGGAAAAAGACGATAAACACTGTTTTTCTCAGTCACTATCTGGAAAGGTTGTCAGTTGCTCCCAGAAAGGCGAGGGGCTCACCTGCATGATCCAAAAACAACACCCTGCCACCTCAGCTCCCCAAACACTTGCTGAGTGCCTGCTGGGCACTGGGCACACAAAGATCAATAAAATGTTCCTCACGGCGTGCAGTTGCTGCTGGGTCTGTGTGCTCAGGCACTGTTTCAAACCTCAAGTCACAGCCAAGGCCACTGTTTTGTCCCCCTCTTTACATATAACTTTAATAAGCTTATCTGATTTCTGAATGCAGAGCTCAAAGCCACGAGCGATTACAGCCAGTGAGTGAGGAGACATAAAAACCCGACAAGGATGTGGGGGACGGGCTCACAGGTTGTTGGTGTCGGGGCCCAGTGAAGGCACCAGCGCATCCTGACACACAATCAGAATCCAGAGTCCTAATATCGATGCTGTCAAGAAAGGATGCGAGAAGTCACGTAGCAATGTTAGGGAGATTTCCAATGAAAATGTTTGCTCTCAAGGAGTCACACGCAGCTCAGTGCAGAGCCAGTGCAGGCTGTCGTGGGGCTTTAGGTTTGTATTTGAAGGGCGAGGCTCTCAGGGTTATCTTGACATTATCTTGATTCCACAGAGTCCTTCACAGGTGAGGGCTGAGAGAAAGATGGATTCCAGGAAGTATGGTCTAGTTTTAACTTGACTCAGAGCTTGGCTGGCTGGGTGAGCTCCTCAAGTCATTTGTCCCAGAGATAAAAATAACCCAAATAGCCAGGGCGCAAGGAGGGCAGGCAGCCTGTCTGAATGGACCTGGAGGACTCTGCTCAAGGGGAAGCCACTTCCTCTTATGCCGGGTGTGGTGTGGGACTTGCACTCAGTAGTGGGGGAAAGGAAGTCCTAGAGAAGATGCAGTCATGCCCCCCGCCCCCAGCTCCAGCCCGTGGCCTACTCTCCCTGTTCTGAGAGGGAGGGGGACCGCTGTGAAACCACTATGTGGGTGACCTTTGTGTGCCTGTTTCTTCTTTTTAAAACATCCCCCAGGTTCAGCTGTGAAGAACTAGTGAAGAGCAAAAGGCATCCACATCCCAATTAATAAACTGTCTCTAAATAACGTTTCCCCAACCACCACTGTCTTTCTTACCTGTGACACCAGCACATTTCTCAGAACACTCCTCCTTGGTCAGGTAATTATTGTCATTCCCACCACAGCCTCCATATACAAACTGCTGGCAGGATCCGCCGGTGACATTGTACCACCATCTAGGGATGGAGGCCCGGCATTTTCCCACGACCTTCGGAACTCGGCAAAAGTCTAAAACACAAAGCAGAGGCTGGTTAGCTTGGCAGGGCAATCCTGACGACAGAGAACAAGCCCAGACCTGCAGGAGGAGACCCCCAGTTTTCCAGAGCCCCCAGAGGAGGGCCAGAGCCTCCCTTCCAGCACAGTTTCTCTGTAAGCTGTTTCTACAGTGTCTGTCAGGCCTCCTTGGTGAGTCTCCTTTGTACAGGAAAGAAGCACGTCGTCTAACAACGACACCAACCCATCCAACCAAACTGTATTTCATTTTCATGTTGATTTTGTCCCCGTTACCATTATCAAAGACACACACACCCAGTATAGAAATATGACTTTCAAAAGCAAAAAAATAAAACAGACTTAAGGGTCCTCTGGATGTGTGTCCCATCACACTGGCCAAGGGGAGCTGGGCGCTGAAAGGGCAGCGCTGGCGATGCGAGGCCAGGAAGGAAGCACGCTGTCTGGTGCTCTTGGCACCCCTCACAAAGACCTTTCTTAACCTTTCCCTATCGGCCACTTCACACTCAAGTTACCACAAGAACCTCAGAAAGAAGCTCCCTAACTCTAGTTCCCCCCACTGCCAACCCCCAGCTCCAAAGGCATTCGGGTCACTCCTTTGCCCAGTGCTGTAATGGCTCCCATCTGAGCACACCGAGGTGGGCCTGGGTTTCAAGGTGCTCCCAAATCTGGCCCCCACTCTAGAACAAAACAATGTTATCAAATTCCAGCCAGATACATCTGCCTGCAAAAGGCCTGGCAATTTTCTCTCTCTCTCTCTCTTACAAACAGTGAGAGATAAGAAAGTGCTGGAGGTATCGGCTGCATCAAAACAAGGCTTTCTTTCTCGTGGAGGACTCAGGATCCAAAGCAACTTGAAAAGGCCCTGTGAGTGGACATCTGCCCTGTATCACCATGTCACTCCTCCCATGTGATCATGGGTCCACATCGCCTCTCCCTACATCCTGGTCTCCATGATCTCTGCCTTCTGGCAGAAGGGCGCCTAGCACAGGGTGCTCAATCAACATCTCAAGTCAAAGCTTCTCAGGGCCCAACACTTGGTTCCAAGTTGTCATTTATTCCTCTCTAGTTGTTTTCATGTTCGTTAGGTTTACTTGACCACCAACTAGGTGATGACTCTCGAAAGCACAGAGGGAGGATTTGTGCTTCTCTTATGTTTCCCAAAATACATCACAACAGAGAGCATGAAACCAAATGGTCCACAAAACATCAATCTCTGGAAGAAAAAAGGTTGGTGCTGTGCAAAACAAATATCCCAAGGAACTCCCCCACATGCCAATAAATCACAGGTAACTAGTACAGCAGGAAAAAACATATTCTGAAGCAATTCTCTGTTTAAAAGGACCTTATCTGGGGCCTGCCGAGTGGCGCGTTGGTTAAGAGCTGGCTTGGGA